AAAACCCTTGTGGCGCTTCCTTATCTCTTTCCAATCCACGCCCATAAATCCTTCTTTGTGGTCAGCTCCTTCCAATTACACTAATTAAGTATTTGGTTGATAAGGGTATTGTTTTGTGCTTGCCAAAGATGTGTCACCGTCCCTTTAAAAGGGTAGAAGCAGCACACTTACCCGTCTTCATTTCCTCTTCCTCCTCCTCTTGGGCTCGCGCATTAATAGACATGGATTGCAGGCGACTAACCCAGATTTTTCCTGTTCTGGCGCCTTTAAAGGAGCTAGGCAGCACGAAAATCGACCCCTTTGCCGACTAGGTCTGGACAACTACGCTAAGCAACAAAAGACGTATAAACGTCAATTTTGTAGCCTTTGGAGAGGTGGCGTTCGTATTATTTGGTGTATTTCGGAACGGTGGATTTCTAGTAGTATCAGGAGCCGATTCTGTCGCTTGCTTGCCCCTTTAAAGTTTTCTTCTCAAGGTACTTTCACCCCTTCTTTGCCCTTTGAACTCCTCGCAGGCGTGATTGTTTCGTTAAGACATCATCAATTCCTAATCTACACCCCATTAAGCGCTTGGCACATCGCTCTCTCTCTCTCTCTCTCTCTCTCTCTCTCTCCCTCTCTCTTGCCATCACCTCCTAAACAGGGCAATTAGTCGCGGCACCTCCACCCTGTCGCCCATTTCAGTGCATTTCGGCTGGCCATGAATCTGAAAATCTCGGCTTCCCCGGGGTGTGTTAGAGGGGCCGAAAACGAGCACAGAAGAAGGTGATAACGGGTGGTTCCGGTTCCGGCCAGCCCGGCCGAGGTTTCGATTCGCAAAGCCGCTCTACCAGCGCGCTGATTTTTCGGTCCTTTGCAGGGCTACAGTTTTGTACGGTTCGGAAAATAATTTCTCAGGCTTGTTTAATTCTTAGTTTTTTATTGCTAACTAGCAGTTTTTTGTTTTCACTTATGTTGTTTTTACCATTATTAATTAGTGATCTGAATGGCATTTTTGTCCCAATTTGGATTTTTGAGAATTGTTTGCGGCATAGCTTCAACGTAACTTCCAATAGTTTTAACATGTATTTTTAACCATATCGAGAATTACAGAATATCTATAGTATATATCGCTTTTAGAAACTTAGCTTAAAAACCTGATTTTTTTGTATGCTACAACTACATTCAAGGGCCCATCTTCATACCGTAGCGTACAAAAATCTGCCTAAAAATTTGTAGATATGGGTTTTTCATAGTCCTGGAAACGATTTTGGCTTAATTTTGCAAAATTTAGGATTCAATTAAGTGCAAATCCAATTCTTTAGACCTTAATTTGCTGCAGCTAAGTTTTTTGCCCTGATCCCGTGTATGAAAATCAGCGTTTTTTTTCTTCCCAGTCCCTTTAAAGCCATGCCGCCGTCTGGTTTGATGCTATCCATTCGTTCAGGCGTCAGATTTTCCCTTTTTATGATCCCTATATATGTGTGTTTGCACCCACCACGATCATCTGTGCGGTCCGGCCGACCTGTTGATCATACCATGCTCGGGGCAGGGCGGATGATATCGATTCGATTTTTGCGGACGTCGTGCACGCCTTTTGGTCCGTTGCTGATATCGTGCTTTGAGGTTTATCGGAGAAAAACAACGAAATTAGGTTCTTTGCAACGAACGCATAGAAGCAGGGTGTTCGCTGGAGCGTGGCGTAGTGTAACGTTTGACCCTACGTAAGGCTTCAATGAACGGCATCTAGCTTTTGTTTATCATATTTATTCAATTTATTATTTTTTTTCTTTGAATAGTATTTTTTGGTGGTTATACCTGTTTTTTTTAGTGCTGGATTCTTAGCGGGGGGGGGGGCGGACTATTTTTAGCAGCTGTTTGTTCGACCGATTATTTCGTTATAGAGCTTGTGCTTAGGACTTAGGCTTAGGCCTCCCCTCCTACACCAGGAAAATGAATTTCCCCCCGAAAAAATCCTCCCCCCTCCGTTATCTCACTAGTACCATTTTTCCAACAATTTGATTTTTCTGCAACCTTAATCAAGGCGCCAAGGCGTCTCTTGTATTCTGTACGGTTTCGTATAAGCTTTATTAGCAATTTTTAGGATAGCTTCTCGGTTATACAAAATTTGCCCTAAATTTGCAATTTTACACCCATCCGGCAAGCCTACTGTAGCCCTGATTCGAATTAGGCGAAGTTATCCCCTATTTTTCCCCTGCCGATTCCCCAGCGATCTACGAAAAGTTTTTCCCCTGTTGCCGACGTAAATAACTTGATTAGGGCATTATCGCCTAAAATAAAAGCAAAAACGTTAATTTTGGCGGCTATATCCAGCCGTTTCCTCTATAAAAATGAGCCGATCGCATGGCCCTCGGGAATTTCCGGATCTCTCTCGCTCTCGCTCTCGCTCTCTCTCTCTCTCTCTCTCTCTCGCGCTCTCTCTCTCTCGCGTCTATAATGCTTTCTAAACTTTCCCTGAAATAGTCACAAATTCCCCTATTTTCGTCGACCCCGAAAGCGCAACGCGTCGATTGCTAATTTCCGGGCCCGACCCCCTTGGACCACCAGAAATTGGCTCGAATTTCGGGCCGTCGGGGGTACACTTCCCTGTGTGTGTGCATTTGCGTCAGAAAAACGAATATTTTTGCGTAGTGTGCTGACACGGGTTGACGGGGTTTTGGTGCTGGTGTTTTTGGGTATTTCCTTACACGGGGGAGCCTTTAGAAAGCTACAAAATTTGAGAAGATACGATAATTTGACCAGAATTTTATGAATTTTTGAAAGTTAAGATTTTTGATTACGACTAGGTTTCGTAAGAAAAATGCAGTAATCGGACATTTTTTCTTTCATAAATGGCATTTTGTGATGCAACCTTTCAATCTCAAAAAAATTACGCGACTTTCCAAGTTACAGTGTCCAAGGTTTTTTGAATTCTTAATTTTTCTATTTTCCAATGCTTTTTTGATGTTACCTATCTCCCCTTCATCAGTTTATCTTAAAAAATTTGCGCTTTTCCGATAAAATCTCTTGTTTGACCGATTCGAGATATTTTCTTTAATATTTTTGGCTTTTCATTTTGTACTTCATTTTTGTGTTTCTCTTTTATTTTTTTTCGGGCCCTTAATTTCCGCAACTTTCCAGGCTACACCCCTTTCCACGCTCGAAAAATGATTAGACGGAGCTGATGCGCGGCGGCACCCTTGGTCGATCCGTCTTTTCCCTCCCGCCCACCTTCCGACCCAAACAACGAACAGTCTCCTCACACTCCACAGCCTTGCCCTAGACGACGATTACTGTAGTGTAGGTGAGTAATAACGAGAAGTGGCTTGATTTGTTTATTTTCTTCTTAGAACGTAGTGCAAAGCGGAAAATGGAGCTTTATTAAGATTTTTGATACATTTTCATTTGAAAAGTAATTGTTGGCACCTAAAAAGGTGAGAACAGTATGATAAAATAAATGACTTTGCCGACATTTAATTTTGACAAATTTTCAATTTGTTGACATGTCGTTTTGTTCATTTTTAGCTTCTCGAAATCCTATTCTGTCTAAGTCTGAGTTTGTCAAAAGGTGATATGTATTTTTTTGAAATGAGAATAGTAAAGTTTCGTTAAAAGGAAATGTCGACAAACTAAATTTTAACAAAGTGAATTTCGATCCGATGAAGTTTTGATACAAAATTTTCCGCAACTTGAATTTCGACATCATGGAAATCACTTTTGGAAGTATGAACTTTTTTAGTCAATTCCACTTTGGAAAATCACTAAAAATTGCGTTGCCGTTCATATAGAGTCATCTCACCCGAATATGCACCTGTGTAAGACCTGAAAAATAGCATTTTCGGTATCTAAACCTATCTAAAAATTAGCTCGTAAAATTCTGTCGCCCACAAAACTGTATTTTCTTAAAACTGATTTTCTGTCTTAAATTTGAAGCTATATACCATTTTTAGCTTCCCTCTACTAAACCTCTCCCCTCCACAACGATGGACGAACCGGAAACATCGAAAAGCTCCGGCCAAAATGGCTTTGCAGAAACGTCGAGCATTGTGAGTCTATTTTTCCCTTTTCTTGCGCGTGTTCTGCTGCCTGCAAAAATATTTATTGAACATTGATTTATCTGGGATCCCCGGGGAGCACTAATTCCAAAATGGCTCCAATAGCCGGTCAGAAATCGGCCGCATGAAACTGGCAAAAGTGCCCTTTCCCCAAACGAGGCGTGGGTGGCCCCTGCGAGGCTACAAATTGTCACCAGATCCCGATTTTTTGCAAACAAAGCCAATCACGGCGGCCCGGAAGTATGGCTTTTTTGGGTGATGCTACGAATTAAGGGTATTTTCGGAGAACTAGAAGATCATTTCCGGTGGTTTTTCGGTTTAGAAGCAGCGAGAAAAATTTAAAGAAATTCCGAAGGCATCGGTTGATCACCCTTGATCGACTTTTTGGCATGTAGCCTACATATCAAAATTTACAGTAGTCTCTCAAATTGTTTATTTTGCTATTACCCATTATTGAAAAATCAAGCGGAAATGAGTGACCACATAATGCTACCAATGACGCAAATTTGTTGTCGCGACACCTTGAACAAAAGCGTTTCTCTATCTATTTCTGCTGTCATAATCCTTTTAAAGTTACTGGAAATGTCGATCATCGACCTTTTTCTAAGCTAGATCTCGACAGATACGAAAATCGCTGAAATAAGCTGCCAAGAGCTGGCCTTTTGCTATTTTTTACAACTTGCAAGTTAAATTTGGCCATTTTAACGCAGTTCCAGGTTGTCGAGACCTAACCAAAGACGGGGCGAATTTTTCGCTTCAAGGTTCCTTTAGAAACGCCCAATTTTTGAGCTTTGAGACCGATAGTACCGATTACCCTTGAGCGGCACGTTGTTCCATACTTTTTCAGAGCGTTCGTGCCAAAACAGTAGACTTTCGCGCTTCATAATCCCTGTGGAATCAGAAAATTGGGTTCCTATTTTTAAAAAAGCTTCAAAAAACCTCATCAATTTCTCTTTCCAGACCCCGATGGACAGCGTGATCGCCTCCTCATCCGGGGACCATCACTGGTACACCGTCAACCACCACCGGCCGACGTTTTGCAACTTTTGCCGCGGGAAGCTGAGCGGCGTGCCTTGGCACGGGCTGGGTTGTGAAGGTATTGACTACAACCTAAGCTTAATAAATTTCTGATTTATAGTATGCAAAGTGAAAGCGCATAAGCACTGCGCCGAGCGGATACGAGAGCCCTGTAAATGGACGGTGGATGCGAGTATACCACCGCAACTTCAATATGTTAACCCGGAGGTAGGGTATCTTTTATTTAACCAATTTTATTTGACATTCTTTAACTGAATTCAATTGAGCTGAATTTTATTAAATATTGTTAAAAACTTGATTCCGCTTCAAAAATTTGTAAACATTTTTTCTAGCAGACTTGCGATTTTTCAAGCAAAAAAGAATCTAAAAAAAACTTTTAAGATAGATAATTAGCATATTTCGAGGTCAAAATGATTTTCTTATTTTTAGAACACCCTAATGCCGCATCAATTCGTCGAAGGCAACCTGCCAATGTCATCAAAATGCGTAGTCTGCGAGAAAGTTTGCGGTTCGGTGCTGAAGTTGCAGGTAATTAGCATCTCTCTCCCTCTCTCTCCCTCTTCCTCTCTCTCTCTCTCTCTCTCTCTCTCTCTCTCTCGCGCGCTCTACGTCGAAATTTGAGGACTGGCGATGCTTATGGTGTTCCTGTTGTGTCCATGATGCCTGCCTATCCCAACTGGCTCGAGGGTGCTCACTCGGAAATTGGGCATTATCTGTACTTCCGCCACTTGCCATCAGAACCGTTGAGAAGGAGGGCCAAGTGGTATGTTTAACGTCATTCATAATACCCTTGAAAAGTATGGGAGTATGATAACTTAAGCCACCGGAAGTTACCGTACCTTTCAAATTAAGCCCAGTTTTCAGAGCTTACGAGCCGACGCCTACGGTGGTGACTGCGGAGGCGGTTCCCCTTTGCTGGTTCTCGTGAATAGCAAATCTGGTGATAATCAAGGTAAACAATTCAATGATGCACTAATGGCATCAATGTCCTGACACCTTCCATACCTCAACCAAGAATCCAGCACTTCTTTTAGGTCAACGCATGATCCGAAAATTCCGAAGATTACTGAACCCGGTCCAAGTTTTTGACATTTGCCTGAGCGGCCCGGCTCCGGCGCTGACCTTCTTCAACAGCTTCGACTCGTTTCGGGTGCTTGTCTGTGGTGGAGATGGGACTGTTGGCTGGGTGTTGAGCACCTGTGATCGACTGAATATGCTGGGAAAGGTATGCATAATTATTACACAAGATAACAAAATGCCACTTTACCAGTTAGAACAATTTTTAGCGCAGTTTTTTAACCTGTAACAAAGTATCCTTTTAGTGTCACATGGCCATCCTCCCACTTGGAACGGGAAATGACCTAGCAAGAGTCCTGGGCTGGGGCCACGCCTTCTATGATGACAACCAACTACCTCAACTCGTTCGGACGTTTGAAAGAGCGCACACGACAATGTTAGATCGGTAAGTCGACAGAGGGAAAGAGTGAGAGAGAGAGAGAAACAGAGAGAGCGAGCGAAAGAGAGAGAGAGTGAAAGAGATGAAGAGACTACTCATTACTAATTTTTTCAGATGGAGTGTCTACGCGATGGATGAGGTGCTCTACGACGCGGTCCGGAACTTTGAAAAGCGATTGGCTGAACGGGTCGAAGATGTGCTGAGTGCCGAGCAGCCGAAGAAGGTTATCGAGTCATCGAAGTAAGTTACAAGAAGAACATAAAAAGCGATAAGAGACCGAAAGAAAGAGGGAGAAGAGAGAGCACAGTGTGAGAAAGAGAGAGCGCGAGAGGGAGCATGAGAAAACCTATCGTTTAGAAAGCTATGCATCACCGCCAAGGAGCTGATCGAAAAAGTAGCAGCGACGTATGGCCAAGTAGAGGAATGGGAAGCACAAGCCGGGACCCCGACTGATGATCCGATTTCTCAGACGTAAGCTTTATTCGGGGCGGGGGCCGGGGTTGGGGTGGCGGGGGCGGGAGAGAGAGAGAGAGAGAGAGAGAGAGAGAGAAACTGAATGAATAAGAACTAAATCCTAAAATTACATTTTCAGATGCTCCACCTTCCTGGCCAAGCTGGATTCCCTGATGAAAGAACTGCCAGAATCGCCAACGTTAGATGAAAGTGGTTTTGAGCAGGACAATGATGATGAAAGGTCAGAAGCGCCCTTACCAGTATAATTACCATAAATTTTAGTCAAAGAGACAGTGACGATGAGCGAATGAGAAGGGAATCCTTGGTCGGAAGGGCAAACAGCTTGAAGAAGGCGCTGCGAGAGATGATGGAAGTGGCAGAGCGGGGGATCGATAACTATTCTGATGCCAAGTACGTCTTTTTCTAGCTGTCTTTGCGCCTTTAAAAACCGTTATGGCAGTCAAGGACAGAGTCTATTAAAGTGAAAAAAAAACTCAATTGCAAAGCGTCGTTTTCAAAAGGTTTAAGCACCTTGTAGCTGTCAAAAATCCCAAAATGGTTTTTTTTGCAAAAAAAATAACTTGTAGAAATTAAATCGTATACATTTTTATTTTTAGGGCCTCCACAAAACGAGAGCGATTCCGGAAAAAGCGGAGTAAAACGACGCCTTCGGCTCTGAAAGTCTCCAACTCGAACCTATCGTCCTCGAGCGCCGCTTCGCCCCCACCTAGCCCCCAAGAACCAGCCAGGGCCAGATTGATCAGAAATGATGCCGAGCCCCCGGAGAAAAACCATCTTTATGTTAGAGAAGAGGAGGAGGGGCATACCAGTGGTCTTGGAAACTCGCCGGATCGGTCGTTTGCTCGGTCCCCAAATACCGATGGCACTCATCATGAACATGAACACGAGCATTTGACGATGAAGCTGGAGAGTATGAGGTGAGGGAGAGAGAGTAGAGAGATAGCGATAGAGAGCGAGAGTGAGAGCGATAGAGAGGGATAGGCAGAGATAGAGAGAGAGAAATATTGATATTCATAAGCAATAATAAGCTTTTTTTAGCATCGGAATCCAACCTCCTACCCCGGCTGCAAACTCGCGAGAACAATCCACCCTCTGGCCAGAAGACTATAAAGATGCAAAACATTTGGTGGACCGACCAGAGCCAGAAGATGATGGAAATATAGGTAAGAAGAGAGAGAGAGAGAGAGGGAGAGAGAGAGAGAGAGAGAGAGAGAGAGAGAGTTAAATAGAGCGTTGACTTAAACCTCATGCTCATTCCAGAAAGACCAGACCGCCTCTTCAAGCCCTCTTCAGAAGGCCATCTGTACACCCAGGCGGGCAGCGAGATCAAGATGAGCCACTCGGATAGCAGTATCTACGGTATGAAAGCTGAAACCTAAGAGTTATTACGATTCAGACTTTTCAGAGCACTCCACGGACGTACCGTCGACATCTACTGCCATTTTGACGCCCAGAACACCAGGGACGGTCGCTTGGAACAACCGGATAAAGGGCAAGAAGAGATCGGTGGCTGAGGCGCCGGCGCAGAGGTAAGTAGTACTGTATTGTTGATATAATAGGTTAAAAATTACCTATTTTTGATGCTGACATGTCCAGAAAAATAATGGCATGCTTGTCCAATTATCCATACTTAAAAATAAAGCATAATTTGACTGGCGTGTTGAATTTGAGGCTATTAAATTTTTTCTCTATAAAAAAGCATGCTGTCCTGTTTATAAATATAGTAAAATAGATATAGATTCGCTTTTCTAACCTTAATCAATTCAGAAACGGCTTCCCTCTTGGAATGAGAGGCTCTTCCCTGATCGCCGAACTCCTGCTCCTCAACGCCAAAGTGCTCGGATTTGCCAACGCCGGGCATGGAGTGGGCACCAGGTGCCGTTTTTTGCTTGTTAAGAATGTGTTAAAAGTTTAATTTAAATAGATTTACTTAATTTTTATGCCTCACAACGTAATTAATATTTTTTTCACTGGCTTTAAACTTCTACCTCACGAATTTGAAGTGAAAAAAGCCAAAATCGGATGTCAGACTTTTGAAATGAAGTTCAAAATATGAAACGTCTACGTTCTGATAATTATTCTATGTTTTTCTGCTTTCAGAGACCAATTCAAAGAGCTGAAGGTGATGAACAACTACTTTGGGATCGGGCTGGACGCCAAGATCGCGCTCGATTTCCATAATAAACGTGAAGAAGGCGGCCCGGATAAGGTAGCTATTCAAATTTAGTAATCCAGCCCTTCACTGTTAAGAAATAAGTATTAAAAATTATACCGGCACCTTTATAAGTTGCATAAAACTAATATAAAGTTCTTTTTAGACGAGAAGCCGCTCAAAACTCCTATTTTGGTACGGGATGCTGGGTGGGAAAGAGCTGATGCACAGAACCTACAAGAATTTGGAGCAGCGGATACGGTAGGCCGAAAATAGATTTTTTGTAGCTCTATTTCAGATTGGAATGCGATGGAAAACTGCTAGAACTTCCAAACTTACAAGGAATCGTCATCCTGAATATTCCATCCTACTCGGGCGGCGCCAATTTTTGGGGCAACGCCCGGGACGATACCTTTAAAGTGCAGTCGTACGATGACAAGTTGTTGGAGGTTGGTTTAATGGAATTAAAATAGAGATTAATAATATTAATGTCCAGTACGCTTACGATAATAAAATGTACGTTCAAACGTGGTTTGTAAGGGTGAGATTATTTGTTTTTGTTTCTAAAAATAGCACGCTGATACGAATCAAAAAAGCGTAACGATGGGATCGATAATCCTACCTTATATAATTTTGGGGTTTATCTCTGTGTGTGTGTGTGTGTGTCCGCGCCAGGGAGGGCTACTTTGCATAATTCCAAAAAATACAAATTTCCTCATTCTTGCAAGTTGCACGCGCGGGTGTGGTAGGATGATCAGGGGTCCGGAGGACCCAAGCTATCGGAAAGTCAAATTTCTCATGCAAAGGCCGCATTCCAGCGCCCAAGGCCCGCGAAGGGGGTTTTGGGCGCTGGTATGGAAAATAAATAGAAGGAAAAACGAATCCGCATAGCCAACTTCCGATCCGATTCTTCATTAGTGCGCCTAGGAAGTTATCGATTAACTCGTTTCGCGCGGGCAGTAGACTATCGATCCGGAAGGCGCGATGGGTGCTAAAACTTTTTTAGCGTTTCTATATTTTCAGGGGAAAGATACGCTACGTTTCTTAATTACATTGTGTAATTGATTTTTTTCCAGGTCGTCGCCCTATTCGGAGTCATCCACGTCGCAACATCGAGGGTTCCAAACATGGTCCGGCTGCAAAACCACCGCCTTGCACAGTGTCGAAGCGTGAAAATTACCATCATTGGCGATGAACCACTTCCAGTGCGTGCTTTTGCTTATCTTTAAGGCCCTAATTACGCAGTAATAAAAGTGACGCCTGAAAATCATGAATTCGTTCGAAGCCTTGTATGGCAAATTGTGCTGTTTTGTACGTTACGATACAATTCACGTTAGCAAAACGATAGTTTCGACCCACATATGGCGAGGCAGCAAGCAGTAACGTGTTGGGATTAACCCAGAATTTTTCTTGTTAGTTTATCCATTTCTTCCAGGTCCAAGTCGACGGCGAGCCCTGGTCCCAACCGCCAGGTGTCCTGATGATCCAGCATAAGAACAGGGCCCAGCTTTTGGTCCGGAACCCGGCCTTTGAAGCCTGTCTAAAGAAATGGGACACGAAACGGGAGAAATCCACAGCACCAAGCACACCAACTGCTTTGGCGGTTGAAGAGGCACCGTTTACGAGGTATGATTTTGCCGATTTTGCCAAGCCGCTGGCGTAAAAATATCAATTGAACTGCTTTAATTGTACCGTACGTTTTAAATTTTCCAGGAGAGCAGCCGAACTCGTCCAACTCGTCGAATCCGAACTCGCCTGCCTTGGCGTTTCCCAAGCATTTTTGTCAGCGCTGGAAAACGCCTCGACCGCCGTGCAACGCCTGGATGAAGCCGTGAGTTTCGAAGGGGTTTTGATGATTAAATAATTTCAATGATATTTATGCCACTTAGCACATTTAGAAGAATTTTTCTAAAGATAAAACCCTTTTAAACTCCCTTTAAACTTTATCCGGTAAACTTAAGGTTAAAGACAAGACAGAAAAAGTTGACTGGACGTTTTAAAGTTTATAATCTAAACAAAATTGTGTAGATATTTCCACAAAAATTCCTCAAAATTCGAGGTGTCTAAGTTTGGAAGTTATCTTTTTTTTTTTAACGTCCCAGACAACCCAAACGTGACACAAGAACACTTGAAAAGTGACAAATTGAAGGCCTCTAAAAAACCCGTGACAAATCCGCGGAACACCCAAAAAAGCAAAACATTTTGGCGCTTTCTAACGTCGCGACATTACCCTCGTCCAGGGCCCTTGTCGTCCATCACTCATCGGAGGGGGATTCCGCCCCAGACTCGAAGCCGCAGGGCTTATGCCCGGAGGCTATTCACCTCCCTTCATCTTCTTCCCCCCTTACCCCCCTTGGAAATCGGTATGTACTGCCGGAAGGCGCCGGTGACAAATTGCCCACATGGATTGAGGTGTGGTCCAGGCGATTTAGGGGCTACTGAAATTGCCGCCGGTGGCCTACGATAGCCTATTTCTCACCTTAAATTGCCCATTCGGGGTCAATCAGGGAGATTGAAGGACGAGTGGCTACAGATATTTTGCTGTAGGCCGGGAGCTCCGGAATGGAACGGAATTGCCCATATTTCTTGGATCAAAGATATTGAAAAACCCGGGGGCTAGATATATTTTGATGGAGATCGTCGGCTTCGGATTGGAACGGAATTGGCCATATCTCTAGGAGCGCCTAGATTAAAGCGGCTGTAGAGCTAGCGTCACGCTAGAGCGGTTGACAAATTGTCATATTTTGGGATGCCGGAAAACCCAGATTTCAAAGGATCGGTGATGCGTCATCGTTTGCAAATTAAAACACACCCCGGAGGCGAATTTATTTTTGTTTTGGAACTGTTGACGCTTAAACAACATTAATTCCTAAAATTAACATAGGAGTTTCAAACAACTAAATAATTCGAAAAAATAGCAATATTTTTGGGTTACATGTCAATACAGACTTCAAAGGAGGGATAATGCGTCGTTATGTGCAAATTAACAACAATCTCCGTGATAAATTTTATATTTCTCTTGGATCTGATTGGAAATCTATTTTTTTTTTCTAAGAACCTCCAAGATCCTCTGCTAGCTTGCCATGTCCCTGCAAACTGGATGCCCATTTTTTTGTCAGAATTAGTTGAAATTAGCATAGAACGTTTCGGAACTACTAAACAATGCAATAGCTTTTTCCCATTTTTCGAAAATATCTACTAGATTGCCCAAAAATAGCTATGTAGTTTTATAATGTTTGCATTGGTTGCCTTGAATGCATACTATCCGCAGTAATACGATACGTTTCTTAAGCCATTTATGCACATTGAGCAATTTTCAAAAACAAGCGTGAGGGTCGGAAAATCTCGTCGTTGCGGAGACTGAGGCTAATTTGTTCGATTCAGGCTACACTGAATTCAACACAAAAAATTACAATGAAAACAATAGAAGCGAGATCATTGTGTTGGTCCCGATTTTTCAATTTTTTCTTGACAAATCCGTAGCTTAGCATTGTTCGGAATCCTTCAAGCTTGTGGCAGCAAATCAGCCGAAGAGAGGGTGACAAGTTCGGAATTGGAGTTGGCTGTTGCCCCTAAAATTGAGGAAATTGCTTGATTTGCACTTTGAGAAAGAACGCTTTTTCCAATTAGACTCCGCACGTGACCCACCAATTATGCTAATTTTGCTGTCGACGCTGCTGCGGCGGCACCGCGCTTTTTTGGCCCACATCCCCGCGCTAGGGTGGAGAGGAGTACTAAAAAAGTAAGATTGAGAGAGGGAGAGGGAGAGAGGGAGAGAGAGAGAGCGAGAGGCAGAGAGAGAGAGATAGAGAGAGAAGAGATAGAGAAAGAGAGAGATGACGAAAAACTTACCTATAGAAAACACCGAAAATACAGCATACAACCACATCAAAACGAGCACTTTCGCTCCGATCCACTTTGAGGGCCATGAGTGCATGTATTCCTAAAAAATAAATAGAAATTTAGATTTTCAGCAAGTTTATAAAATTCAGTAAATTATTTTGAACAAGACCCACCTCAAATCGAATAAACGAGAATAGGGTTACGGTAGGCATCAGCACCATGGCCAGGATGATTTTCCAGATGACATGGATCATCAGGGTGGAGGCGCAACTAAAATTCAGAATGTTTTTTGAGATAGTAAACACTTTAGGCTGAATTTTTGATTTATTCACATTTAATTTAGCAATTAAAAACGTGGTGGTTCTGAACTGAACAAAATTTATGATTTCCAGGGGATTATTATTATTCCAGATTATTCCAGATTTCCAAAAATTAAATTTGTAAAATCATGTTTCTTGCTTTTTCAAAACCAACTTCGCGTCCAGATCTTTGCAAAAATAGCCCTAATTTTCTCCCCGCTACCGTGCTTCCATTTTTTTTGAGCAATTTCCCGATTCCGTGACGCTATTAATATCGTGGGGCTGCGCTATTTTTGGGCAACCCTTCATAAATATTCAGGGCTGGAGGAAAACGGTTTTTTTTTTGCAGGAGTGCGAGCACTAAGAAAAAGCTGCTCGGATCCTTGGTCGCCTATTTTGCAGCTGGGGCACCCCAATAAACCCGAATAATCGAATTAGATGATCGTCGAAAAGAGCGCAAGAAAGAAAGATTGTTTTGTGAAATTTTGGGGCAAAACAAGATCGTTTCAGGGGACCGGAAACGTGATAAAATGAGCTTTTAGATTTAGGTATGTGAAGTTAATAGGGACTGAAAAAAATTTAGCAGAAAAACATACCTCCTCCCATCCTGCATTCGGCAGCATACATTTAATGCGGTCAAAACGTTCACCGTCAAGATGAAGCACAGGGCGACTCGGGGTAGTAACTAAAATTTGGATGTAATTCTAGGTAGAATATCCCTCTTTCCATCTCGCTCTCTATCTCTCGATCTGTCTCGCTCTCTCTCGCTCGCTCTCTCTCTCCCTCTCTCTCTCTCCCTCTCCCTTTCTCTCTCCCTCCCTCTCTCACTATCGCTCTAGCTCTCGCTCTCTCTCTCTCTCTCCATCTCTCTCTCTATCTCTCTCGCTCTCTCACTCTCTCTATCTCCTAGACCCGGAAATTCACCCACCGCCATTGTGGATCCATGGCTGAAGGCAGGCGGCCCGTCGCTAATCGTCCGCGAAATCGTGATGGATAGCGAGATTAGGCCGATGGCAAGCATCGAGTAGGCCACCTCGGCGAGCAGAAGAAGCTGAAATATTAGTTAGAAAGTATAACGTAACCATCATTAAAATGCTTTTTAACCCTTTTTTATTTAATGGTAATTTAATTTTTTTGGGGGCAAGGGAGGCTAGCGGAGATCAGTTGCAACAACTGCAATTTTTTATCATGTTTCGATGCCCAGTTCTCTGCTCCGTATTTCTCACGAAGCGCCCAAACATCTCCCAGACGGGGGTGCAATTTTTTCGGGGGATATGATGTGTTTTTGAAGTACAAAAAAAGAGAGAGCTGGAGAGGGTAAGAGAGAGTGCGAGAGAGAGAGTGAGAGAGAAAGGGAGAGAGATAACTAAAAACCCGCTTACCCGGACAATTCGGTGCGTGCGAGAATGTCTCCTGGGAGTACCAGAAGAAGAAGCTGCTTCTCGGGGTGGAGGTGCGGTGTGTTGGAAGAGGAACTCAAATTTCATGCGCTGGCGATCGTCGAGTAGATCATCAGCTGTTGAAGAGGGGGAGCATGAGGTGGTAGACATTGTGGACCCTGAAGAATGGAATTTAATAGAGAAGTGAGGGAGAGAGGGAGGCGGGGGGGAGGAGAGAGAGAGAGAGAGCGAGAGCAGGAATTTCGGACTTCTCAGGCTCTATTCTGAAGGGGAAATCTTGGGGTGTGAGGAAAAAACCCATAATATCTAAATATTAAGGAGGGTCCTTGGTACGAACTAATCCAATAGACGCCCATAAACCCATCCCCCAGCCTCTTTTCCTTCTCCTATTCTGCTTTATTATGCCATGCTCCCCGGACCACGTGGGGCTAATTGAATTCGAAAATTCATCAGCCGGAAGAAGGGGGAAGAAGAGAACGAGCATGAGCTCGAGTTTCGGATGAGACTAACTCGACCGCAAAATTTTTTCGAAATGGTTAGGTTAAACTTAGGCTTAGGCTCCAGCTGAAGCCTAGGTTAGGCTTATGTTAGGCTTAGGCCTAGGCTGGTAGCATATAGGCGAAGTTAGCTTAGGCTTGGGCTTGGGCTTTGCCTTGGGGCTTAGGTTGAGACCCAGTCTGAGGCTTACTTAGGCTTAGGTTTCTGCTTCGATACTTCTTAAAGGCTCCCCACGAACTGAAAACTGAGGCCCGTCCAGCTGATTGGGCAGCCAAATCTCGGCTTGCCGGACCTCCGGCCGGGCAAAAAATCCGGAAGGGTCCAGCTCGCCCAGCTATTCTTTTTGCCCAAGATGGCCGAGGAGGCGGCCATTTTTTGGGCTTTCGGACGTCTTCTCACCCCACACAAACGCACCAAAATGCGCCCCTAATTGAACGGCCAGGGAGAGGGAGGGCATCTGGATTCTGGAGAAGGCTTTTTCACGGCCCTTGGGGGTCCTGGAGCCAATATGTGAGCCGTGTTTTTGGATTTTTTTTGAGAGAGATTATACAAGGAGTTCTTGTTAAAATGGAATCGAATCAAAAGGGCAAAAATATAAGCCAGGCAAATTAAAATTATATTTTTGATTTTTTAACATTCTTAAAATTAAAAATTCCTTTAAATTTTGTAATTACGATTAAAATTTTTATTCATTAAAATGTAGGTTTCTTAAGCATGATTTTGAAAAAACCTCAAAAGCACGTCCCCCAGTAAATTCTTGGGCTTTTTCCATGCTTCTTCCCGCCCCATTCAACCCGCCCGGGCCGCGCCTTCAACCCCCCGCTCCTCCCACTTCCATTTTCTTTAGTCATGGATATCCCATGACCTTCCAACCATGTGGTGGTAGAGAAAGTAGAAGAAGGAGAGAAGGAGCCAATTTGCATCCGGTTTTGCAAAAATTCACGTAGGAGGAGGCATAGAATATTAAGAGAATTCGCGCAAAAGGCCAGGAGATGATCAAAAGAGTTCAAAAGACCTCGTAAAAAGTCCTAAAAATCGTGGAGCTTTGCATTTTAAGGGTGTCGCTCAATCGGTCGTTCTCAAGGTGTGAAAACAGGAATCCTAAAAATTTCTCGCTAATGGAGCTTTATGCAAATTTTGTCAGCTCGAATGATGCCAAAAAAAAACCTAAATTACAAGCTCCGAATCTAAAGTTTAGACCTAAACCTTCCGAAAAACAACAAAAACAGCGTCAGCCATTTTTCGACGTCTGCAGAAACAAAGTTTGCGCGCCCAACGACGCCACCGCCAACGTTTCGGAAATCCGTTTATAGGTGCGGATGGGAAAGAAGCGGAAAAGGCCCACACAAGGCCCAAATCGAAGGTGCGTGCCCTCACCAGGGGGCACAAAGTGAGACCGGCGGCTAGAAAATCCCTTTCCGGCCTGGGGCATGAATATGCATACAAGAGCGAGGCGAGAGGGAGAGCGAGAGAGACAGAGAGAGAGAGAGAGAGCGAGAGAGAGAGAGAGAGAGAGAGAGAGAGAGAGAGAGCGACAGGGGAAGGAACTTCACACCCTATTCTCATTTGCGCGGGGGACTCTTTCTATCTTTGTCTTCCGGACCTCGCGTTCCGCTTCAGAACGGCGAGGGGGCGGAATTAGGAATTCTCGTAGTTGCCATTTTCGTCAAGATCCAAGGGCTATTTTGAGCTACGAACTACAAGAGCTAGAAACGGCAAAAAATGCAAATTTAAATGTTTTCAAGCCCGAACAATACGAAGATAAATTAGCACGAAAACCGTCTGTGCAAAAAATTAGAAAAGGTTTTTGATTTTTAGTTGTTTTCAAGGTTCGAATTTTTGCACCTTAATAAATAAACTAAAACCACGTATGCAAATCGCTAGAAAGCGAAGCTACTAAATTCCTAAATTTCAGTGTTATCTAGCGTTACTCTTTGCAACTTTCGATGAGGTTACGGTACCAAGAGCAAGATCTAGTATCCTTAAAAGCTCAACTGCAAAATTCCCGCTTTTCTAGGGAGCCTGAGGGGGGCGGGGCCTAGGGTTAGATACCAGCCTAGGCCCCGGCCTTAGGGCCCAAGTCGTTGGACCCCTTGGTCAAGCCCCTTCCAAAGCCCAGCGCTTGCACACGGTCCATTGCACGGCTATAGGGTAGCCGGTTGGGGCCCGGAAGTCCGTGCGGGACACCGCTTGAAAGATTTGGAGGAAGGCTTCATAAAGTTCCTGGTGCAGCATGTGTTTTGAGGCTAAAGGAAATGAGGAAATTGCCGGAAGCTTCGTTCGAAAAATTTAAAAAATTCAACGATCGTTAATTTCTAAGATTTTATACAAATAGAGATTGCCCCTTTTTCCGGATTTTTTACATTTTTCGAGGGTTTTTTTGGGATTGTTTTCGATGTTCTAACAAGTCCAAATGTTCAAAATAATGCGGAAAACGCAAAGCCGGACTCAGGAAAAAATGCCGTCGATCCATCTCGAGGCGTGGGTGCGCCTGGATGTGACAGAAGTTGCCACAAGACGCCACAGATGTGGAATGGGACCCCGGGGAATTCTGCGAAGATGCATTGCCAGCTTTTTTGTCCGGGGCGGAATTTAGCAAAGAGGATGTCAGAAATACCAAAGAAAATTTAGAATTGAGAGAGAAAAGAATAAAAAAGTGAAGAATATAAGAAAATTTTGGAAAAACGTCGTTTCAAACGATTGCGTAGAAAGATCTGAATTTGAAACTTGATCCGGATTTTCTCACGCCAACCCACGAATCTTTTGACCTGGGCGTTCTCTCTCTCTCTCTCTCTCTCTCTCTCTCTCTCTCGCTCTCTCTCTCTCTCTCCCCCTCTCTGGCTTCCCTCTCTCTACTCTCTCTCTATCTCTCTCTCTCTCTCTCTCTCTCTCTCTCTCTCTCTCTCTCTTCCTCCGACCGTTCCCCCTTTTTGATTGCATCTCTTAACCAAATTATTCTGCCGAGCCCCTAGCATCCGGGGATTAATTGGGCAGCAAAGCTCATCAGGCGCAAGGACAGAAATCATGAGAGGAATCTCAGGATGAACAAGAAAGCGAGAAGAAGCTGAAATTTGAATCAGAAATAAGGCCTAGGGTCCAAAAAGCCCGTAAAACACCGCGGGGAATGCATAATGGGTACCCCTAAAAGACGCTTCCGTTTTTCAATGGGTTTTTGCAAAGGAATTCCGGAAAAAATTGCGAAAAACCTTGAAGAAATCCATATGAAAAACATAGGGAATTAAATCCCTACAAATTAACCAAAATGATACCGAAAATAACGTTGAAAACTATTTTATTAAAACAAAAATGGCCTTATCGAGTGGATTCGATTTGAAAAATCAATGCAACCTTGGATATATTACATGAAAAATAGCTTCAAAAATTTAATTGAATCACATTTAAAGGCATATAAAACACAACAAAAAATTATAACGTTGAATACTTTACGATCTCCGTAATAACCTTTACACCCTCTATTTCCAGATGGACGCCAATTCCGACACGTGGTCGTTGCGTGAAGAAGCTGTGGCCGGAGTTGAAGGAGTTGTGGATCTGCTCGAAGACCATTTCGGATTCCCAGTCCCGCGATCACCCCAAGCCACCGGTAGCAGCGGAGGGCTGGATTCTAAAAAGCACTCCACAGCTGGTCTACCCCCCGGCGGCACGCTGTTCACCTTTGACACCAAGGTAAGGCAAAGGGCGATATATTTTACTGTGACCCAATAAAACTGGGGCGCCTGGTGTTTGGGCCTGGGTATTTTTGGGACCAATTTGTCAGTCCGGGTTATGAGAATTGGGCAGGGAGAGCTAGCAGCGTTCCTAAAGGAATGGCGGGGCAGCTAGCGGAGGTTTTTGGGATGCAAAGAGCGGGTGGCAGAGATTCTTTGAGATTCGTAGGGTGAGTGAGTCGTTATTTCATGCAATTCAGAGGCGGGCTTGCATACCCCTATTGGGACTATTTAGAGATAAACTAGCAGAGATTTTTTAGGAAATAACGAAAAAAACCGTTAGGTTTTTTGAATTGTAGGGCAAACTAGCAGACACATTTGGGAATTTTAGGAGAAAAGGCTAGGGAAATCTGAGGCAAATTAGCGAAATACATTTGGGAATGGTAAGGCAAGCTAGCAGTGATCCCTTAGGAATTTAGAGGCAAACTAACAGAAAACATTTCGGAATTTGGGAGAAAACAGAAGACTTTGGACTTGGCAACCTGTGAAAAACTAGCAGACCAACATTGGGCATGGCAGAGCACGCTAGCAGAGATTCTTTGAGAGCCGCGGGAACGAGCAGATAAATTCTAGGGATTTGGGCGAGCTAGCGGAGACCCTTGAGGAATTTTAAATACGTCGAAAGGCAGATTGGCAAGATTTTAATTTTTTAGCTAGGCTTAATTTTTTAATATAAAGTTTTCCGTATTTCTCACTTCCTAGAATATTTGCTATCTTGGCCTGGCATCCGCTAAATAGCTGGGGGCAATAAACAATCAGCGGCGGCGTGGGAAGGGCTCTAGCAAAAACGTAGTGCCTACGCCAAAAAACAACCAAACAAATGGCCTCGAGTAGCTGACAAATTGGCGGTCGAGAATTTCGGACGGATGTGATGAAAATAAGAAGGAGCTTTAAAGTCCGCTGACGTCTTTTAAAATGCACTAAGCCGGCCGGAAAGTAGCCATCTGATTTTTACACAAAAAATGACAAAGAGGATTTTTTTCAGGGCGATGAGCCGGACAAGTGGCGCTACGTGATCAACTCGATGCGCCAGACGTTGGCTAGAGAAGAGGCTACGATCAAGGTAAGGGATTTTAGAATGCCTCTCCCCCTGCTGCTCCTCTTTCTGTTCTAATCAAAACTGAGATAAGGAAGGAAGGGAAGTTGAGCAACCTAGCAGAGATTTTTGGGGAAATTATTACTAGCCTGTTAATGCGTAGGCTAGCAAATTTCCAAGACTATGGTTTAGCCAAAAACCAAAGCACAGCCTTTAAATCCAGTTAATGAGCACCCAAGAAAATTCATTCATCCATCGAGAATCCGTTCGCCTTTTTTGAGGCTGGATCTTTCATCCATTCATATTTCTTTGCTTGCTCTCTCTCACTCTTCTCCCTCTCTCTCTCTCTCTCTCTCTCACTCTTCTCTCCCTTTTCCTCCATGTTCTCTCTCCCCTCTTCTTGGACCTCAAAAAATGAGCCCCAGCCCCGTAAATAAGAGGGTCGGAGGGACACGCAGATGAAATACGCATCCAGCGATGCGAACGGGTCGGTCTTTATAAACCCCGCCTGAGAACCAACGTTTTTTAGAGATTCATGAACGTTCCAGAAAAACAAATGTAGCCATATCTCTAGCTCCCCCCCTCTCTCGCTCCCTTGCGTTCTCTCACTTTCTCTCTCTCTCTTTCTCTCTCTTTCTCTCTCTCTCTCTCTCTCTCTCTGTCGCTCCCTCCCTATCTCTCTCACTCCGCCCTACCACTCATGCTATCTCTTTCTCTATCTCTCTCTTCTCTAAAAGCAAGCAAGCAAAGATCGCTCGAAAAATGCTGTAAAAACACGGTACTAAACTACAATGGGCCTCTAAATGCATGAGAAACGCCAGAAAACGCTTTCAATTAGGACCACCTTGGCCCAAGGCCCACTTGGCCGTAGCCTCCACGGCAAAGTAATGGGCTCATTAGTTTTGGGGCAGTAAGATGGGCTCTAGGGGATGGTTCTAGTTAAAGGAAGCATTTTTGGTGCGTAAAAAAAGTGAAAGGTAGATGGAATTAAAACCTACTAAGAGCTAACAAAAACATAAGTTTACCATTTTGAAAACAAAAAATTGCAAAAAGCCGAGAAATCCAAGCAGGTTGAAAAATTATGCAAACTTCAGGAAGAACGGCGTCGCGTCCTGGTGGGTGAAGGTAGAAAGCGGAGTCGCTGGACGACGTGGTTGAGCAACAAGTTCAGCAGAAGGAAGAGGCCGAAGAATGAAGGTGAACTTCATCTACTCTGGCTCCTTTTATCTCTCTCTCTTTTTCTCTCTCTCTCACTCTCTCTCTCTCTCTCTCTCCCTCTCCTCTCTCTCGCTAAATTCCACTTTTCAGTCTCCACCTGGTCCGTTGAAGAAGTCCAAACCTGGCTCTCGTCCCTCGGCCTAAGCTCCTACATCGAGCAGTTCAAGGCCAACGACATTTCCGGGCAGGAGCTTATCCATTTGGAAAGGTGTGTTTTAGGAAACAGCAAGCAAATGTTGATCGCTAGCTGCAATTTCATTCAAATCGAAATATCGTCTCTCTAGATCCGACTTCAAAGACCTCGGGATCATCAAGATTGGGCATGTCAAGCGGTTACAGGTAAGAATTTCTAACGATTACGAAATAAGGAAGTTAACTGTTTATGCATAAATGGATAACAATTACGAACTGGCTTGAATGGGATTTTACGGGTTGCCGAAAATCAATTTAATAGATTTTGGCTTCACAGTTCCTTTAAAATTACAATTCCTACCTTATATAATTTTGGCGTGTAACTGTGTGTGTGTGTGTGGATGTCACTTTCGAGGCCCGATTTGAGGACCATCCCGTGCATAAAATGCCCCAATTCTTCGTCACCCGGGGGAATCGACCCTTCTGTTTCCGATAACGTTCTCAGAATTACGATAAAATACAAGTTTACAAAGTTAAAGCCGGTTTTATTCATTTTTGGGGGTACCTGAAGGCTAATTTGCATAAGGCAAAAAAAATACAAATTTCCTCATTCTTACCAATTGCAGTCGCGCGTGTGGTTGGGGGGGGGGTGGGGTCCGCAGGACCCGAGCTATCAGAAAGTCAAACTTTTCATGCAAAGGCCGCATTCCAGCGCCCAAGGCCCGCGAAGCGGGTTTTGGGCGCTGGTAGCGTGATAAAAAAAGACGAAAATAGGTTTCACCTTCCGTGTTCCTATAAAAAGTACAGTCTGGCTGATTGAAATAAGCACATTTTCCAGACCGCTATCAACGATTTGGTTGAAAAAGAAAACGAGTCCCGCACCCGGGCAGGTAGCCGTAAAGGTGCCAGCCTATCCGTGGAACGCCGAGGTAAATTTGCGTTTTTTGCTTGCCTTTTCGAAGTTTAATTGCAATTTTAATTTTGCCTAAATCCAATTCTTGATTTTCGCAAAAAAAAATCGAGAGACTCTGTAGTGGCTGGGGAATGGCTTCTCGGAATGAACTGGAATTTTTCGGAGTGCGGCGCTTTTTAAAACTTTTCAAGACCAAAGCTAAAATCCAAATTTTAGGCTGTTGCGCATTTTTGGCCAGAATGCTGTGTTGTTTTTCCAGTCGGTGGAGGTCAAGAAATTTTTTGAATTTAGTAAAATATAGTTTTCGAGGATTTTTAGGGTTTTCGGGGCACCCCTGGGGCTTGCTGCTAGACCCTGCTAGATGATGTGTAGATTGCCACAATTTTATGCAAATTTTTTTGGGGTTTGCGGAGCTATTATTTTTGTTGCTTTCCATGTACACCCCGCCTTGCTGGCTTTGTTTTGAATTTACAAAAATTTCAACTTTTTCAATTTTTAATTATTTATTTACCAAATTTCTAGAATTTTTGTAATTAAGAGCAAAAATACATCCATTAAATATTAAGCCAAATTTCAATAAGTTTGGAAAATGCGCAAATTATTTCTATAAATCTGTTTAAGCCATTAGAAGCAAATTTAGAGCCAAAAAACATTTTAGCAAAACCATGAAATATGGAAAATTTTGTATTTTTGATTTCTAGAACTTTCCTTTGGCTGAATGTGGGGAATTTAATTTTTATAATAACAAATTGTTGGTTGTGACTCTTTACCTGATCCCAGTTAAAAATTACTGATAATACATTAACAAAAAATTGTAAAATTCCAGAAAGCCAAATTTTGCGGTTTTCAAACCTTTAAAATTTATACGTTAAGATTTATAAGGTAGAATGACTATTATTCTGATATTTACTGTATAGTACTGTATAGTAGTAATGATTACAATTAATAAAGTAAAAGAGCGTTAAAACGCCCCCCACTTTCCGCCATTCCCCAGCCTCCCTTCCACGTCGCGTCCCGTCCCGATCTGCCGTATTCCACCGTAGCCCTGGTCCATCATCATAATAATACTTCCATGTCCCTTTAAAATCCCGTGAAACACAATCTCATGTCATTTTTGTTTTTTTAGGCAGCATGTGGTGCTGGCGCTGAATGCATGGTCTGTCGTCGTCTCGTTTTGTGTTGTACCGTGCCGTGTCCGGTCCCGTTTTGCGGTCTTTTCTTTTTAGGATTTTGTCGTGCCACCCCTCTATAGCCTTACCTTTTTAAGCGGTGGTACGTAACAAACGGAATTAGGCGGATTGAAGAAAAAATCAAAAAATGAAAACTTACCTTTGGAAGACTTTAAGGTTCAATAACTTTAAAAACCGTTTTTATGCAAATCATAATAATAATTTTATAAGTCTTAAAAAGCCGCCGTTATTTTATTTCTGGATTTTATTCAAACTCGAAGCCTTAATTCATTTAATTCCATGAATTAGCTTTTTAGTAATTCTCTAGAAATAGACTTCTTAATTTAATATATTAATAATGATAAATCGATGCAGTGTTTTCGCGGCAAAAAATTCATAAAAATCGTCGGTAAACTTTGGCAACTCTAAAATATTTTATATTATTTTAAATCTAATTTTTTTATCTTCTTTGCTGCTTAAATTTCTCTAATCACTTCTCCGGCTATCAGGTGGTGGATCGGAAATTGGAAATTAAAAGAACTTACGCATACCTTTAAGAGAAAATATTTTATTGCAAAATTGAAAAGATTTTTTAAATTTCGACCCACCGCAAAAATTTACCCCCAAAATCCGCACCAAACCTTTTTGTCCGTGGTCTACCCCTACGAGCGGCCAATTCAACCCCTGTCCAGTTGCACACCTTTATAATTTTCCAAAAATATTGACAAAATTCGCATATTTTAATTATTTATATTTTGCAGGTAGCGTCTCCGTTGCCGTGCCCGAGCTGCCGTCGTTGAGCAGCCTCTAAAATGCTGTTTTTACGTCGAAGAACCAATTTTCCGGAGCGATCCGCGAAATTGCGTGCAAGTTGGCCGATTTTCCTGGCCTCGCCGCCTTCTTTTAGTTTTTTTTGTTTCCTAAAAAGTGCCCTTTTACCGTTAACTTGGCATTTAAAATACTATAACTTTTTTGGTTTTCTATTTATTGCCCGGATACCGTAACCCGAAAGCTTTGTGGTAATTAGATTGGTCAAAAATTGTTGAAATTTTACCCGAAATTTCCCAAATTCCCGCAAGATCTTTGCTAGCTGGCCCAAGCGCAAACCCGCGTATTCCACAAAGTTTCTTTGTTAGCTTGCCCGAATGAGGGCGCATTAATAGAAATCAATGACTAAATGATGATTCCACGAAGCTTCTCTGCTGGTTTGCCCGGGTTTTAAGGGCGCATTAATGAATACCATAAACACGGATTTCCGCAAAGTCTTTCTGCTAGTTTGCCCAAGGCTTTGAGGGATATAAACAAAGCTAGCTAGCTCAGAAAATTCCACAAGGTTCCTTTGCTAGCTCACCTCGCCCAACTCGAATTTTTGACCAATCCGATTAGCATAAAAATTCTTTTTTCTACCGTAATCCTCGCTTCGAACAAACAAAAAAAAATCGGCTCCCCCGAAACCGCCCGCTCGATTCTGTGATAAAATGCGCTCCTGCTGTTTGCAGTTTTCATCGAATTTTTTTTTGTATTTTAATATTTCAATTTTCTTCTATTTTGCCCAGCCCAACATCGAGATTTCCCGCACATCCAGAACTTTGTGATTGTTCGCCTTTTATTTTTTTTTGATAATTTTTTGCTGACAACGAAGAGCTCCGATTTCCAGTCAATTTTTGCTGCATTGTGCGATATTTTATTCTGCTCCTTGTGATTTGCCCAAACCAAAAATTAATAGATTTCTAGCTGTTTTTGTCATTTTTGCTTTTAAAATCTTTATTTTATTTTTTCCGAAACACACCCAATTACAAATGCTCATCAACCCCCCAAGCACCGAAAGCTCCAGAATTTTTAAAATCTTATTTTTTCGTACTTTTTCTAATTTAAAACCCGATGTCTTTATAAAATCCGTGGCTTTTTTAATTTGTATAATTATTTCTATTAAATTGTGCCCCTATTTTCAGTTCCAGAGTCCCGCCCATCACCGAATTTGCGTGTTGAAAACAGTGTGTGTGAAAACTAGGGAAACGAAATGCACTATTATTATCATTATTATGATCATTATTGAATATTGAAACGAGAATAAACGAGTACTTTTTGAAAAAGGTCTTTAGGAGATCATATGGAATTAAATACATACAATAATAAGTAAAAAACCCCAAAGGATTCAACGATATAAATAGAAAAAGATATAACTCGAAAATTTTTATTTGTTTGCCACTCTTTAAAATTGAATTTACTCCTATTAGCACCCTGAAATCTTTCTAAAGATTTTCAGATTTTTCGGTATTAAAACCATCGCTAGTCCATTCCATAAATCTATTCCACACACTATTTGCTGACCCTGGACAGACCATAGGAAAATATGCAAATTAGGGGTAAACACCCCGGGGCGAGGCCCCCAGAGCAAAATTCCGAAATTTACTCGACCACACCGATAAGCGTATAATCGGAATGATTCGGAAAGCGAATCGCATATTTTCCTATCTGCCTACGTTATTTTTTATATTGATCTGGGCGCTGTGCTTTTCGGCTACCATAATCTTGATTTTAAAGTCGAAGGCTCGACAGGTAGCTCAAAAAAGGAACAAGGAACTTTTGTTTTAAAAAATAACCAAACACAAGAATTTTATAAAACTTGCTGACGCCTAATAGAATCAAAATTTGAATTGGCCTTGACAACATGCATAAAATGCAATTTTAGGCGGAAGCCCACGTCCCCTACGCTCCAGTTATACAAAAACCACCAAATATTACGGTACTGGTGGTGGTCAATGTAAGAAAGTTGGATTAACAGCGCTCTCGTCCTCTCTTTCGTTCTCTCTCTCTCCCTCGCTCTCTCTCTATCTCTCCTCTCTCTCACTCTCTCTCTCTATCTCTCTCCTCTCTCACTCGCTCTCTGACTCTCTCGCTCTCTCTCTCTCTATCTATCTATCTATCTATCTCATGACAGCCGTAATTTTTAGAACGATGGAGACCTTTGGAAGTACGAAACCGCGCTAGCGACATTGAGATGTTACTGCAAAATGCATCACTATACCTTTAAGATTATCTTCCCCTACGATTACATACCTTGTTACCGGAAGGATGTAAGCATTATGAAATGGCTTAGAACGACTAGTACCGTCCACTGCATTTAATGATTTTAGTTCATGTTCGTAAGACATTGTATCGTCGTGGAACATCTCGTAAAACCGATTATGTATTTTTCGTCGATGCTGACATGGCAGTGGTAAATCCAAAAAGGTAGGTTTCTAAAGGTCAATTAAGTATATTAAAAATCAGGAAATAATACAATAATAGTAAAACGTCGCAATTAAATTTAACGACATCAATTTCAGAAAAATCGAAGAATTCATAGACCCGAATTTCGACATAACTTTCTATGAGCGTTTCATTAATGTGGAAATCGCGGCTGGCAGCTATTTGGTGAAAAATACGCGATGGGCAAGGAACTTTTTGATGGAGTTAGTATCGTTTCGGAGTCAGGAATTTTAATTTTAGCTTTTCCCTATATGGAGACAAGCTGGACGATCGGGTGATAGGGTCGGATAATGCGGCTTTACATGTAAATTCGAATTTTATATGGAATTATGATATTTTTTAGATGTTCCTCGCCGAAGAGCTGTACCCGGAGCTGAAGGACTTGTTAAGGGTATCACTTTAATATAACTACGGATTTGCAAATTTTGTTTACGCATTTGAGTTGTTTAAAACCAGAAAGTTAACCACTTTTGAGTTTTCAAAATCGACTACATTGCTCGACATTCAGCAATTTTTGAAAGCCTCAAAATTAAAATGTTTCATTTTTCCAATGTGAAAAAGCCTTTTTGAAAATAGAACAAAAAATAAGCATATAAAAATGCAGATAACGTAATTATTTTTGGCGTGAATTTCATAGCTATTTTAATGGTTCTAGGCTCTTTTTAGCAATGCCAAAGCGCCCAAAAATTGGTCGACTGGGGCGAGCTGTACGTTTACGAGACCTGTGTAAGAATGATTATTGGCAATCATTACGAACTGAAGAACCATGTGAGGATCATGAAAAAGGTACTGTATCAAAAATACTTTTTTTACTTTTGGTCAATTAATATTCATCACTGTATTTAGGGCACGGGCTGGGTGCGCGACATCTGGCTCGCCGACTCGAGGTGGAACCCGAAAATGGATTTTATTTTGCATGGCTATCAGGAAAAGCGGATACTGCCGTTTAATGGAACGTTTATAAAGCGAGCTCAGTTGTAAGTAAATTAACAAAAAAATCGTATGCTAATTGCATAAAGAAAAATGAAGAAACAAAAAATCATTTTGCCTCGTTAAATTCAATAAATCCATAAAACCTAGACAAAATTAGCAATAGGATAATTTCAAAAAAAGCTAAATACAAGCTTGATGCTGACATGTAAAAATGGCTGATTTTAGGCCCTGGATGGAAAAAGCGGGCTTCTACAAAATTATGAAAAGCAAACCTCAGCTGAAGAAATGTAAAAATACCGACTACACGTTTGACTTTGATGACCGCTTTGTTGTGAGTCTCCCAGAACCGCAGATTCAACTTCTACTACCTAGAAACCGATGTTCGAGATCAACCCCGTGCTCGACGACATCCGCGCCGAGGTCGAGCTGAAAAAATGGCAGTTCGCCGGGATGGTGCCAAAGTTTCAAGAGAAATAAAGATTCCGATATTGTGCTATTTAAAGGGCACGTTCAGGGACGTTTTTTGGCAAGAAAACAAAGATTTTTGCCGCGGCCGGGGGTCGAACCCGGACCTCCCGTTCGGGAAGCGCGGATGGATACCAGTCAGCCACAGGTGCAACCTGGCGAGTGGCCGAGGGGCGCCCCACCCCGGAAAGGAGGGGAATCGCCTCACACGGCACGGGCAGGCATCGCGCGCGGTCCCTACGTCCATAGGGTGTACACGTCGGGACGAGTACACGACCCCTTCCTGAACGTGCGCTTTAAAAATACAGTTCATCTAATCTCTTTAGAAAATGAAAAATAAGAGGGACTTTAAATAGCCCGGAATTGTTTTGAAAATTGTCTCAATAACGAGCTTATCAATTTTACCAAACATCAAAACATTTTGAATTTGACAGTTCCGCGATCAAAACGTTTCTTGATTAAAAAATGTTTTTGAAAGACAAAGAAATAAACAATGCGGTATCTGCCATTTAACGAATGCTATGGATTTGCATAAAATGTTGTAAAAATCTCATACAACATATCAGAACTTCACGCGTTAAAATCCGCGAAATCGGACCTAGATACCGTATCCCAAGCTACCAGAAAACGCCCTCTGTTTGAACTCTCCTCCGAACTACAGAACATGGGAGGGCAAACATTCCGCCGGTGAACTCTCAACCAGCCTGATGAAGAGGACAGTGTACCGTCGAGCGCGAGAGAGAGCGAGAGAGAAAGTCAGGCAGAGAGAGAGAGAGAGAGCGAGAGAGAGAGAGAGCAAGAGAGAGGTAACATTTCCTACAAATCACAAGCCAAAATGACTCATCTTCGCGATTTTTGACGATTCCACCACCGAAACGAAGCCAAAGAACATGCGGTGGCGATGGCCAACGTGACAGTCCACAAAGACACCAGTGAAATTGGGTGTGCATTTTTATGATTAGCAAATAGGCGTTTGGGTATATAATTTGGACGGTGTGTTGGAAGATCATCGGACCGTTCAAGCAGTCATCAAGGCCTACACCGCAATATGCATCAAATCGTCTCTTAAGGGCTTTTGAGCTTTTAAAGTAACCGGATAAAACCTTAAAAATACTTTTCTTGGTAAATAAATTTTATTAAATTGATGGAATGGAGCGGGGATTTTTAATTAAAATATTTTTGAATCTGGAAAAAATTTAGGTTTTAGGAATTGGATCAATTCAAGATTTTTTTGCTTTTCTGCGTAGCGTTGTTAATTTTAATTATATTTTGAGACTAAGAAAATGGAATTTTATGAAATATTATCTTTCAATGAGGCCAAGCCATTTAAAAAAAAGCTTAAAAAAATTAGGAAATTGCAGAATTTCTAGAAAACCCCAGGTTTTCAAAAAGGTCAATTTTTGAGAAAACAAGCGGTTTCGTAAAGCAAAAAAAATCGGAAAATCTAGGAACATGGAGCTATAAAAATTTCCACATATCAACAAAGTTTGAGTAAAGAACGTACTTTCGGGACCTAAAAACCTTAAAAACAAGCCATAGACATGCTCTGCCAATCCCCTTAAAAACACAAATTACACTTTTCCTTCCAGCGCACCAGAACGGAAACGCGATGATGATGGACGACGGGATGTACTACATGAACGGGATGTACTACAAAGGCCGGATGGCGATGGACGACAGCATGGACCAGATGAACGGCATGAACTCGATGAACAACGGCATGATGCGCAATGGGATGAGCACCAACTCGATGAACAACATGAACCGTCAAAAGCGCGCCACCGCCAGCCCAAACATGATGAGCACCAACTCGAACATGATGGACATGAGCACAAGCCAAATGAACCAGATGAACTCGATGGGGATGAGCGGCATGATGAACAACGGCATGATCATGATGAGAGACATGCGCATGTATCAGAATGGACAGTGCAGGATTGGGGTGAGTTGGGCTTGTTGAACCTGTTGGAGTTGTCGGATAGAAATCAGGATGATCGAACTTTTGCTAAAGGTAGAGTTCGACATTCTGAACGTGCGCGAGTTGTAGGCGATAGGTGGAGATAGCAAAAGGCCTATATAAAGACAGGGTTAAACTTTCTGAACGTGTTGGAGTTGTTGGATAGTAAAATTTAATATCACAGGGTATCGGTGTACACCACAATTTGACTTTAGAACACCGCCCAGGGCCATATGCTCTACGATGGCCAGGCCACTCGCGCTCTCACCACCTCCGAAATCAGCCAGCTGAAGATGTTCCGCACCCAGCTCGATATGGGTGAGTAGCTGCAGATACGCGTTTGGTCTTTTGACTTCCAAGTATACCTTTAAACTTGTGGAAATTTCAAGCCATTTTAAAAGACTGAAATTTGCATATTTAGGCAACCCGATGAACGCCCGCTTGCCGTGCCTCTGCAGGAACGTCAGGTGCGCCGAGAATTAAAGTATTCGACGCAATTTTACATATAAATAACATCATTAAGCCTATACCTGATGCTGTCCGAATCCTATCCCAATATACCTAATACCCGTGAAGAATAAAGCTTTATACCATGCTCTTTTTCCGACATGTACTCAACTTTTGTCGGCAACTTTTTTGCCAGTTTTCGACTTTTGGCCAAGCCTATCGGTAAACGGAAATTTCGGAAAATGCGTCAGAAGCCGCGCTTTTCAATCTGTTAAGTCGTTCAGTATACAGAAACGCTCTCACAAGCAGGCGTTTAAAGGCCTCCCACGTAGTCGTCGGCACTAATTTCCGAAAGCTACCCGTATTCGCTACTATACTCCAGTTTTTCTAATATTTTGGAGATGCAGTGTGTTTTCGGGCTTCTTGTGGTTGCTACCATAGCCCTGGCTATGCCTAGTAAGTTTTTCTATTTTATCGTCATTTTTTGGGGTTTGAGAGGGCGAAAGCAGCGAGAGAGAGCGAGAGTGGGTGCGATAGATAGAGAGTTAGCCAGAGAGTGAGCGAGAGTGAGAGAGCCAGATAGGTAGAAAGCGAGAGGTAGAGTGCAAGAAAGGACGATAGAAATAGAGACAGAGAGAGAGAGAGAGAGTGTGTGAGATAGACATAGAGAGTGAGGGAGAGAGGGGATATGGAGAGAGAGAGAGAGCGAGAGAAAGCAAGCTGAATCTCTATCTTTCAGCAGCAAGCCCGTTCGAACCGCAAGCTTACACTGATTATAATGGCCTGAATCTGGATGCTCTAAGAATGCCGCGAGCCTATGGAAACTCAAATTACAATATGAACTACAACAACCCGAACATGAACATGAACAACATGAATATGAACATGTACGACCAACAACAACACGAAACCCATCAAGCCTATCAGAATGGGCAGTGCCAGATGCAGGTAGGAAATTTTCACAGCTATTCCTGCGTTTGCAAGTGATACATTGCTTTCAAGCTCAGTAGTTATCGTATTCCTGATTTTTCAATTTTCAGTCTACCTTACGTGGTTACATACCTTTAAAAAAACCCTTGTAATGCATTGATTTTTCAGGGAAAATACCTCTACGACGGATCAAATATCCGAACATTGACGACCTCGGAACAAAGCCAACTCCAGAACTACCAGAGCCAGATGATGAACGGTAAGCAAGTAACAGCAATTTATCCACTTATTTATCCTTGTAGGAAATCGCAACGCTCGGCTACCCTGCTTCTGCCGACAAGTCAGCTGCTCGTCGTATTGAAACCTACAATCTGTATAAAGGAATTTTTACTCTACCTGAACGCCGGCATAATAAAAAATTCGGAGAACGAAGCAAAAAAATCGCAAAAAAATAATGCAAATTACAGATTTTCTTGGAAAATACATAAAAAAATTCCGAATCGGGCCAACTAACAACGATTCTTTGGAAAAGATTGTACAGGTTCGGAAAAATCACTTCCAAGCATGATGATAATTGGGATTAAGGAGGTGGCGAATCCGGAATATTAAGCTTTTAACAAAAGTTTAAATTAATCTAGTTTTAGCTCAGTCAGAAGGCTTTGGTTGTATTCAAAAACTTCTAATCAATAAAAGCGCCAGAATATGAGCATTAATCTGCGGCCAATAAAAGTTCCTTAGCTATCTAAAAAGGTATGCAAATTCACCGCGAAAAATCTAGTCAGAACAGCTTTTTTCGACGATTAAACAACACTAAAACTACAAAACTGCACTATAAAACTACAGTTCCCCATAACACTTCGCTCGCCCAATTTCTGTATGCAAATTTGGATTTCAAAGTACAAAAGACTCCTAAAAACGCTCTCTACCAAACTACCGTACCCTCTAAAACCATTCTTGATCTCCCCGTGGCCTTTGCCATCCAAACTAGAGGTGCCGGTGCGCAAATAGTGTTCTTGGGGCAAGGCCAGGCTGCTCTCCCCGGAAAGCCAGAGAGCACGAGAGAGAGAAGAGGGTGCAGAAGACGGCCCTAAAACCCAAAGACACTTTTCCGATCATAGGCCACCGGGGTGACTAATTTAGCCTGCCGGTGGTCCGTGTCTTGATGGGCTAAAGAACACTCCAAAATGCACCTGTTTACTACAGAGCGCCCTAATGGACATGTCGACAAATAGAAAACACAGAAAAGTACCGTAGCCGCGTGTTGGCATGGTCGAAGCGTGGTCTGATAGGTCAATATGGGTTCGGGTATATAGGTGGAAAATTTTTGAGGTAGGTATCAAGTCCTCAGCTCCTATATCAAGTCTTCGATTCTACAAACCGACTCAGCTACCATAATCATGCAGCAAATCTTGGCTCTCCTGGTCTTGGCGACTGTGGCTCTCGCCATGCCCGGAATGGGATCTGGATCGTGGGAGAATGGAGGTAAGTAATTTTCGAATTACGGCAGCGAGCGAGAGAGAGACAGAGAAGGAGATAGAGAGAGAAAGAAAGAGAGAGAGAGAGACAGAGAGAGAGTGAGTGAGAGAAAAGTTACCTAATGTTTTCAGACGACATGATGATGGACCAACAGATGATGGACTGGTATCGAATGTACGGCATGAACGGGATGCGTCAGCGCCGCAGCCCCGGCATGAACTACGACAGCAGCATGTACGGTTCCAACTCGATGAACATGAACAACGGCATGATGAGGGACCAGCGGATGTACAGGAATGGACAGTGCATGGTGCAGGTGAGTAGTGGAGAGAGAGAGAGACAAAGGAGAGAGAGAGAGCGAGAGAGAGAGAAGGACAGAGAGAGAGAGAGAGAGAGAGAGAGAGAGAGGGCAGCTTGAGTGAGCGAGAGAGAAAGGGAGAGAGATTCTTGTGATTTACAGGGCAGCACGCTCTATGACGGCCAGACCACTCGCTCCCTCACGATGTCCGAGCGCACCCGCCTCAACCAGTACATGAACCGCATGATGGACTCGTCGAGCATGATGAGTGAGTTTCATTTATCTTTATCGCTTTTTCTCCCCCCTTTCTCTCTCGCGCGCTCTCTTTCTCACTTTCTCTCTTCCTCGCCAAAGCAAATCCCGAATTTCCAGACAACGGCAACTCGATGATGGCCACAATGCCGTGCTTCTGCACCCGCGTCAGCTGCATGCAGAATTAAAACTGAACTTCAAGAAAGATTTTGAAGAACATCATAACGTCCTTGCGAACGTAGTCATTCAGCATTACTGTATAACCATGAATAAATACTTTATCCCGACACCCGGTTTTGAAGGAGCACTTTTTAGAAAGTAAAAATTATAAGAAACACAACAACGAATTGAAATTTCGGTGGCAATTAAATTACGCATTTCGGACAGTCCGCTCCTGGCTGCTAACTCCCCGGCCGTAAACTGGCATCGTCGCGGAGTTGGAGTTGGTGTTCTCGGGAATTCTATAAATTGGTAAATAAGAATACGATAGCCTAGAAGGTTTAGGTTCCGGAGATGAACAGAAAAAAAGGCAAAACAAAAATTCAAAAACGGTCAAAAAGTAGCCGTGGCCTTCTTTCCCGAAAATCAGAAGCATGGCCTTCTAATGCGTATAAAACTGACCTCAATAACTGGAAGATCTGATGTTTATACGATCGCACATTAAAGATCACCACGATCGGGTCGATGGCTGGGTACCAGGCGATGGGGAGCGGGAGCAGGTCTGAAGAGGTTTGTTGAGTTTTAACCTGGTTTTTCGATAGATTTGCAAGACTAAGAGGGTCGATGCCTTTAGCTTAGGGCCAAATCAAGTAAAAAAAAATTTAGTTTTGACCGTTCTAGTCTAGATTTCTAGCCGCTTCAAATTCTTACCTAGGATCGAGTCCCTCGTCCCGAACATTGGCAATACGAAAGCTAGGTAGATTGGTAGATGAGCACAGATTATTGGCACCAGCGTCTAAAATTGGGGTTCTATTGATTTTTCGACTTTTTACCTGAAAAACCAAGCATCGAAACAGCTGGCTTTGCAGTCGATCCCCTCGATTTGCGCTGAGATCCTTAGAAAGTTTTCTAGAACAGATGGGTTAGTTTAAAGTAAAATGGAGACTTTAGAATCTGTCGGGCGCACCATGCCGAAATTACCATGCAGGTGATCAAAATTAGGCAGAGGTAGGCGAACGAGACGACAAAGGCTGGATTGCCCTAGAATTTGAGAATTAGATGAGAGAATGAGAGCGAGAGATGAGAGAGAGAGAGGGTGAGGGAGCGTGAGAGAGAGAGAGAGAGCGAGAAAGAGAGAGGGCGAGACCAACGATTAATCCAAAAACTACCATGTATGGACTTTCCAAATACGGCTCGCCTTGAAGTTGATGTTCTGCTACGACGGAGCTCTAAACCGCATTATTTTTGTTAATAACTCTTAAAATACCTCCATTTCCGGTCTTCTTGGCCAGACGGCAATGCAAAAAATGGCCGTCCAAGAAATGATTGCGAAATAGCTAAAATTTACGAGTTTTGATCCATAAAATTTTTTTACCTAATAATGAATCCGATCGCGTAGATACAAGTTGAGTAGTGTAATATGAAATGTGACCTAGAAAAAATATTCGGATTAGGAATTGACACTTACTTGCAGATGATGAGGTATCGATTTGCGAAATGGCTGGCAATGAGGACAATTGTCTAAAAGTTTTAATAATCATGATAGTATCCGTTTAAGTCTTACCTGAGCAAATGAGAATACAAAAAACACCAATAGTATTCGACCCAACATCACATCCTTGATGTAACCCGTATTAAGGATGAGGAGGTCCAGCTCGTGGATGTGGACCGTCTGCAACAGTTAATTATGAATCATTTCCCGAAGCTAAATTCTTAGCTTTTCTAGAGCGCAAATTTTCTTGGGGTCAGTCGTTTCAAAAGAATGTTTTAAATCCTCTTTTAGTTTAGCTTTTGGAGACAAATAAATATAAAAATTTGCAAAACTAACCGGCACTGACAACATGTGAACAATCGAAAATTTTATGTTAAACCCGCACATAATCATCATGATTACCTGAAAAAAACTCGATAATTGTGGTATTTTCTATGTCAAAAATTTGTAGATATCATCTAACGGCTTAAGTTGATTACCTACCCTATACTGCGCCATGTGCTTCGTGGACTTTGCATTGATACAGTAGAGCAATAGCAGGTTTAAGAATATCGATAAGGCCCCAACGCCAAATGCATTAAACCGAGCAATCTTGTTGATCAGCAAATCGACCATTTTGTGAACCGGCTTTTCTGTAATATTCAGAAATTGGTCAGTCAGATTAGGCATTTTCGAATCCAGGAAGGAATTGGGGTGCCAAGAGATTGCGGCCTCCGAAACCCAATAATTACGCTCCTGGAAAATACCGTACAAGCCGCAATTTCAGGAGGGTTAGGTGAAAAATAGAAAGTTCTGATGCTAGAGCTTAAGGAAATAAATGCTGGCTTTGAGTTCACAGCTTCATGAAGACGCTTTCAAAAATCAGAAAAATTATTTCAAAAAATCCCCGATATACGGTACGGCAACCCTGATCTCGCTCTGCTTGGCCTTCCGATCTTTTTACGGAAAAGTTGCGTCTTAGTTGCGGTAAGGGTGTAATCATTTGGACTCGAGATATCCGCCAGGGGATACCTTTTCCAGGTATGCAATCTGCCTTCTGTACCACGTAATGATTTTGCATTTCGTACCCCAAAAACTAACCGAGGACCGAAAATGAACACAAATAACCGGAGAAAGAGAGAGCGAGAGAGAGAGAGAGAAAGAGAGTGAGAGAGAGAGAGAAAAAGAGAAAGAGAGAAAGAGAGAGAGAGAGATCTGGTATTGAGGGGTAGGGTTGTTTTTGTAGGAAAGCGAATTATCGAGATTTGGAATTGGACATCTAAATACCTATCTCATTATTTGTATCACTAAAAAAACCTTTTTATGCTTTGTAGAACAAATTGCACAGGAATTTGCTATTAGGTTTTTCATGCCATGTTGAAAACAAAAGGTGGATGATTGTTTAGAGGTGTGTTAGAGCAACTGCACTCTGTTATTGAATGAACACTAAATTTCTAGGCGTTCCTGCATCTAGATGAAAAAATAGACGTAATTTTCTGATGGCAAGAACCCAAAAACGTACAAAAATGATCAAAGAAATTGGTGTTTCTCTGATCTCTGGGAGTGCTGCTGCTCAAAAATGCCCAAAAATGACCGGCGTCACTAGAAAAATGGGGAGCACGAGGCAAGAGAGACCCGAGAAAGCGTAGTTCGTTATTCATAGTCAAGTTTATGAGCCGCCGAATGGAACCCCTTTTGGCGTCCGGGAAATCGTGGCCTATTTGGCCGGAAATTTGAGCTTGCAATGGAGTTCAGGGTCCCGCGTCCCTCGTAGTTTAACCGGAAATTATTCTGGACCACGGTGACGTTGAATGTTCTTGGCAACAATGTCATTCAACCAGGTGTTGATGACACATTTTTTGGTGCCGGTGTTTGGACCGCAACTTTGAACCGTAAAATGCTGAACTTTGTAAAAAATGTGTTAAAAAAAAGGAATTTTTGTAAGAAAGTGAGTTAAAAATAAGCTGAACCGATTTAGGAATACTAAAATTCAATGAAAACAAAATTGAAAAATGGCTAAACTATAGAAAAATATATGCGTGATGCGAGGACTATAGAGGTTATCGAATATGATTTAGTTCAGGGTTCAGATTTTTAGGGCAAGTTTAACAGCTGAAAAAAGACAAAAATAAATCGATGGTTTGCTAAAACTAAATCACCTAACAAAGAAAATGGCTAAAATACCGAAACCAGCAAAAAAGCAGCAAAACTAGCACAAATTGATGAGAAATCGCATGTCAAAACGATAAGCAGGTCTTTCATTCGTTTGAGTTTCTTGAAAATGCTACTCATCCCATTAATTAAGTCTCCATTTTTTTCTAAAACGCAGAGGTGATTGAACGTATTGAAAATTCGGCTAAAAACGACTACGAGACACTACGATCGAATCCCGATGCGTGAGCGCCAAGTGTACTAATCGCTATCAAGTGAGGGGGTCAAGCCCGTCTCACACGCGCCTCAAACAGCTCAGAGGAGGGCGTAGGTAAACCCGCGTAGTTGTTTGTTGTCCCACGAGGGCTGTTGACCGGATGGATGGCCTATAGTTCCGATCCGAGTTTCCTGTCTAGGTTAGTGACGATTTAAGGACCCGGAAGGTAATGTACACGTGATCATACGGTAGAATCACTAAAAATTGACTAAAACTCTACGCATGTTAATTCAGAATTTTTTCAGCTCATATAAAATTGAAAATTTGTGAAGTTTAGATAAAAATGTAGTATAACGAGGCGAAATATTGTTAGAAAAGTAATAATTTAGGGAACAGCATATTCTTAATTTCTTTTACGAAAGTTCGGGCTTTAAAGGGATGAGCAGGTCCTTGCTAGGAATTTTGCCATGCATGCGTACGCGCGCAATAGCTTACGGTGCCTTTACGGCAGTCAGTTTGCGCGTGCGTGCGTTACGTGTCGCGTAGCGTGACGCGCGTGCTCGAAGGTAGCGAACTGTTAACTCTACAAAATCTACGTACCTTAAATATGGTTTTTAAAATGAAAATATGAGAATGGAAAAAAGAATTTTTAGGAAATCGAAAAATCTAGGAATTAGTTATATTAGAGGGGGGCTCTATTTTTCAATCAACGCCCGGGGGGGGGGGTTGTATTAGAGGAAATACGATATTAACACTCAATAAATTAATCCAAATCGTAATTTATTTCCTGAAATTGAGGTAAATGGCAAAAATCTCAAAATTTCTAAAAAAACACCCCCATTTCGTGCTCTGCTCAGCCTAGTCAACCGAACGTCCGGAGGTGTCAAACGCATTCCGAAACGTCCCCGGTCTCTCACTAGCGGTCAGTAAATTGCTATTTTTTTTTCCTAACCCCTCCCCCGCCACGTAAAGTGTTTCATTACGGAATCCTTGGAGAGAGGATCGTGGCCAGTGAGGATCAAAATTGAGCTCACCCAAGGAAAGCTAAAAGTGTATCTGGAGCAGATTCGGGACCTCCTAGATTCGAGTAATTTAGCCCGCAAATTTGTTTGTTCTACTCGGGGCCCTGGCGCAGTTATGGGAATCCTGGGCAGGGTGCCAATATTCGAGGTGTCGCCGAGAGGCGCCAGGCAAAGGGCGGTTCGTGGTTTGAATAAACAGAAGTATGTGGGCCCAAAATAAACACCAACAGTGCCTATTTTGGTTTAGAGGCTCAGAAATCAAAATTTTTAGTGGCATGTGAACTTCCGGAACGCTAGACATAATCGGCAAAAAATAGAAGATCGGCTTGTGGGACGTTTCGTTTTTCAGATCCAGATCAATTTTCAATATTTAATTACTATTTTTTATTATTATTTAAGATTACTTTGCGATCTCAAAAAAAAATTGAATTTTAGGAAATTCTGGATTCTGGTATTTGGATCTGCTGATAAATTTCTTTGGAATCCGTGCTACGGTAATTGGCAGTAAGTTGGCTGGTCCCTCTAGTAAGAAAGAAGTTACGGCGTTCTCCTCGCACGTCCGGAAGGACCGGAACCAATGCGGAAGTCGGAAAATCGGGGCTACGTTGGCGCTAGGATTTTGAAGCGTTTGAGCTAAAGAAAAACAGCTTTTTACAATTACGACTTGATGTTTGGCGCCCCAAAAATTTCGTTTAGCTGGAAATGTTACGTGAATTGCCAAAAACTCATAATCTCGCCAAATTATGCTGTCCCCACAATAATTATTCGAAAAATCGGGGAAATTGGCAGGGAATTCTTAAAATCGCAAAGTTCGCATAGACTAAAGGCTCCAAGGATCACTAAAGCGAGTTTCTGGTAATACCGGGAAGTATTACCGTGTGACTGATCAAAAAACCGTTTTAGAGGGATCTAGGGAGAAAAAAGAGAGAGAGAACGAATGAGTGAGAGAAGCAGGGAGGGAGGAGAGAGAGAGGGAGAGAATGAGAGGGGTGAGAGTTAGCAAGCTTTGGAAAGTCAAACTCTTTTACGTCGCTTGTCCATATTTTTTGAGCTCGACCGACTCGTCTGTCGTCACACCCTAAATTTTGCCCCCCTAGCAGTGCGCGCGTGCTGCAAATTGGGAACAGATGTTATGACTGGGTCGGCTGACGCAGTTCAAAATTTCCGGAACCAAAATTAGCGTCAGCTAGGTTGACACTTTCTCTCTCTCTCTCTCTCTCTCTCTCTCTCTCTCTCGCGTTCTCTCTCTCTCGCTCGCTCTCTTTCTGTCTCTCTCGTTCCCTCTCGCTCTCCCTCTCTCTCCCTCTCTCTCTCTCTCTCTCTCTCTCTCTCTCTCTCTCACCTTTTCTCTGTCCCTCTCTCTCACCCTGCGTTTTCCAATACTTTCCAAAATTATGCATCTGTTTTATTCAATTTCTGAGTCAAATCACGATAAATAGAAAAGACTACAAAATATATAAATACATGTAATTATTTAAATATTAAATATAACAAAGTTCGTGGCGAGATCAACGCGGGGTACAAAGAAAAATCGAAAGACGCAAGAACCTTTGGAACATGAAGTCATTCCTGAAACGGTGTACCGAAAAAATACAACTAAATCAAATTGATTAAATTAATTTTAAAATACGTCAAAATGCCTATAGCCTTGTGTCTACCGTACCCGTAAAATTGAGCAAAAACGGATCGAGAAAAACAAAAGAAATAAATTTACAAACAAGATATGCATTAATTTTACCGGCAATGCTTGAGGAATGCTAAAAATACGGTAATAACGTTAAGTGGAGTTTTTTAAACAATTTTTCTACTAGCCGTCTATAGCTAATTATCTCAAAATATTGAGGGGATTACGGTAATTTTGTAGTCTTGTTTTTGGGCTCAAGTTCTAAGACCAACAATCCGTTGTTAGTAATATTCGTCTCGAGCCGGGCTGGTGGAGGCGCTACGGTAGGGGTGAAATTTCGGGGGCGAATTGGAGCCTCAGGAGGGGATACGGTAGGCTCGAAGCCCTCGTCCAGGTATTCGTCATCGATCTCGTCGATCCCCAGCGCCACGTCGCAGATTTTGCTGAAGTATTTCGCGGCCATCTGGAATTTTGGTTTTAAAGGGACTTGGAAAGCAAAAATTATCTTCTTTGGTTAGCTTCTTAAATGGTCACTGCTATCTTGCCTGACTCTCAAAAATTTGCATAATTATAAGGTTTTGATAAAAATTAATGAATTTGCTAGAAAATTCGTTAAAAAAGAAAACTTTCCCTTGTGGCTCCAAATTCTTTCTGCTAATCTACCACTTTTTAAAAATTCGACAAAGGCATTTCCATGGAGAATTCTGCAAATAAACTCTGCTTGTTTGTTTGGACATGCAAAAAACTTAGACGTAAACCAACTTAAACATTTTAAATCGATAAAAACATTTTTCATAGAAAAGCTCATGCGTTCAAAACAACAAAATCGAATTTTTTTCCCTAAGATTAAAAAAAAAAATTAGCTCGCAATTTTCGGACCCTTAGAAATCCGACTTTTCCAAAATTATTTAAAGGTACACTAAAGTCTCGTTGGTTTGGTTACCGGCCGGTAACCGTCCGCGGGATAGCAAACAGGGTTACGGTAGGTGCTCGCCGCGGAGCAAAACCGCACCCGCGCCACGCGCCTGGGGCAAGCGCCATAGACCGATAGGCCAAGGGACAGACGGGACAGGGGAAAGGCAAGGGGGATAAGAAGGGTCCGGGTCTCGCGCGGCAGAGGACCCGGATTTCTGACCGCGAACCGACTTTTTGCACGAGATTTTAGTGTACCTTTAACAGCCCACCTTTGCCCCCAGATCCGTCAACGCCATCCGGTCGTCAAAGTACGCCACAAAACTCAGCGGATCGACGAACGTCATGTTGTTCTGCAGGGCAATTAGAAAAATTAAGAATTAACAGAGCTCACTCCAATCTGGAAGAACTCGTCCAAATACACAGGCGTCACCTTCTCGTGTATGCTTTTGAGGCGTTTGTAGGAGTAGCCGCGGGCCAGCTTAAAAGTAGTGTTTTTGAGTGCAAATTTGCACTACCGCCAAATTCTGGGTGAACTCGGCTAACGGGACGTCTTCAGGTGCCTTGAGAAAGTTCTGAAAAACCAAAATTTCAGACCAAAGCTACATCGTAAATCGTAAATGGGGGGGGGGGGAAGTTGCGGTGCGGTAAGCTACTTCTTTTTGCCATAACTGTTTCATAATACATTATTTTGAGTTGTAATTCGACTTTTTGTATACGTTTTCACGCTTTTTCGAATGACGTTTAAAGAAATTTTACGAAAAAATGTAGAAAATGTCGAAAACTAGCTTTCGACCGACGCTCACATATAGAAATCATGTTTAAACCTTGTTTTTCCTATAATAATTTTATACAACGTTATTTTGCAATTAACTTCAAACTCTTAGTCGTTTTTTAGATGCTCTATCGAATTGTGTCTTCACAATATCAAAAAACTGGTGAAACGATCGATAACTATCCTGCCAGCCCTAGGCACAAAAGTAATTTTTTGTGCTTGCTCCAACTTTTTTCTATTAAACAATTTTAAGCTAAAATAACAACTTTCAATATTTTTTTAATGCTCTATCGAACGGCTTTGCAAAAATTGCATGAAAACAGCGCGAATATCGAAGTTCCTCCCAATCAAAGTCGCCCCCCCCCCCCTCCCCTCGTACAGTTTTCCCCCCGCTCGAAATAGAACAGAACCGTTTTTCTTAAACAAGCGCACTTCCTCAAAAATCTCCACTAGCCTGCCTTCAAATACACTTTCGGCTTTCCCGAAATCGGGCTTAATTCGGAAAGAATCGCTGCTAACCCACCTCAAGCCTCTTGAGATGCCCATCGGGTCTGGTCCTAGCCCGGGCTCCGGTCACAATGATTCTAGATACATTCAGTTTCAAGAAAGTGTTGATATTGGCGCGGTACGTCTAAAAAGGTGCATAAAATCAATAGGGATTGGTAATTGTCTTACCGCCATCATCGGATCACTGCCATTTAGCGGAATTCCCATCCGCTCGCCGGCGAAACTAAAAAAGTCATAAAATTTTGTAGAATTACTTAAAGTTAATATATCGTTTTTAATTAATTCAAGATATTTTAAATAGTAATAAAATACATAAAACCAATGATTAATATTTGGAATTTGCTGCAAAAAAATGAACCCACTCTTGCTCAATAATCATCGCCGTCGGCCGGAACTGGCGCAGGATTTTGATGAGTTTGTTGTGTTCCTCTGAAAGTTTCGACTAAATGAATTTATTATTATTATTAATTTATCAAGTAATTTATGATCGCCCGTATGAATTTAATTAAGCCATAGTTATCTCAAAAGACTTACTTGGATGATTCCCATATCCAAAATTCAGCGGATGGTACCCCCGCTCGGCAAATACCCGAAATTTGTCGTAGCGCAAGGAGAATTGCCTGAAAAAATCGGGCTATTCGTCGTTTTGCCTATTCCGCTTGCAAGATACCTTGACCAAATACCTCAAGGGAGCTAGACAAAAAGAGACGCCAATAACTTACTTAAATAGGTACGGTGCATCCGTTGTGGCGTAGAAATCACCAACAAGCAGGATTTTATGCTCCCCTGCGCCTTCCTAAATAACGTTGCTATTGTTTGGCAGCTCTCTCGCTCTCTCGCTCTCTCTCTCGTTTTCTCTCCCTTTCTCTCTCCCTCTTTCTCTCGCCTTACAAATTGCATACCGGGTATTCGCAGTAAGCATAGGGCTGTGGCCGATTGATATGATCCAACGGCCTACACTCTTCCATTATGTATTTTCTCTGCATGTATTGGGCATTTTCGAGAATAGCGGCGTCTCGATTTCCTGAAAAAGCATTAGGTTAACGTATCCAAAACGTAAAGGTTTTATAAACTCCCTCACCATTCAAAAATCCTGCGATCAAGCTGCTAAATATCACTACGGAGAGCGTTAGGATGAAGAGGCCAGCGATGGTGTAGTAGATTTGCCTAAAAATTGGTTGTAGAGGAAAAGAGAAAGAGAGAGATAGAGAGAGAAAGAGAGAGAGAGAGAGAGAGAGAGCAAGTGAGGGAAAGATAATGGGTGCGAGGTTACTTACTTGTTCTCCATCTTCGCGACGGGACGCGCGAACGCGAAGTGGAGGACGATGCCAGCACAGAAGGCGAGGGGGAGGACGAGACCGGCCTCTGGAATCGGAAGAAGCTTAAATTTAGGGAGAAAGTTTAAAGCCCGATCAAGCGAGAGAGAGAGGGAGCGAGTGAGAGATAGGGTTGGAGAGATCGAGAGAGAGTGAGAGTGAGAGAGAGAGAGAAAGCGAGAGCTGGTCTAACGCAACCTTGAATTCCACTTTCAGTGAGCTCAAAGGTTCCCTTATTTTGGATGATCTCCAGGATTTGGTGCCACCTTTGCGGCGAGCTTTGATCCCCTGCCCTTCTCTGCCCGTCTACCACCCGCCGCGCTATTGGCTGCCATTTTATTGCGCGCCCTGCGGCTGGCATCTGTTCGCGGTAAGCGCAGTCCGTGAAGCATGAATTGTCGAAAAACGAACCCCCCGAAAAACAAGTCTCGGATGGCGAAATGAACGGTGAGCAAGATGGTCAAGTTGCAAGCTCAAGTTTGTACGCCCGCATTTTGGTTTTTTCGGAGCAAAGCATTCTAGCAGGGAGCAGCAGCAACAAGCCGATATTAAGAATGCTTAATTCGGGTCCCAAAATCGCTAGACCATCAAAGAACGAGTTCCAAAAGTTTTATAATCATCACATAAATCTATTTTAGGCCGCGGAAAGGGATGCCCCAACTTGCGCCGTATCGAATAGCAGGGATGAATATTCAAAGCGAAAAATGAAAAAACATTTTAACGTTTATCAGGGTTTTTTATTTTGGTCTCGTTTTTGTGATAGCCGATAGATAGAGCGAATATAATTCTCAGATTTGACCTATATGATAAAAACCCTGGTGTTCGAGCATTCGCCAAATATTCTAAATGAAAAATGGATGAAAGGTAATCTCCCCTAAAAACCAGCAGTTCTATCTAGTATATGATATCCAGTCGCCCAAAGCTTCGGTACATGCCTGATTGTGCTCTACTTTTGTACGCCACCACCTATTTCGATCCAGTACTTCAAAAACACCGTGCAACCCGCATCAGCTGTTTTCATGTTACCGAAAAAGACGAAAAAGACGATTATTGTCCAGCCAGGCGGCTTGCAAGTGCCATTTGAAACGTGGAGAAAGGACGATTATGCTCAAAACGGCTTGGTTTCTGGCTCCCCGGTGAGGCTTGCGAAAGGTGGCACGTAATAGGATTCGTTTTCGGGAATGGAAAGTGCAACCGCAGCTAGAAAAGACTTTCTTTAGGCAAGAAGCCGTCGAAATACATGCAAAAATTCAGAGTAGGTCTTTGACATTAAAGATCCAACGAGGGAAGATAATCAAAGGATCCCGTTCACAACTCTTTGCGAAGTTTCTACAGTAATCAAGGGTCCGGGAAAGGGAAAAAATCAAAGGAAACGCAAAATAAATTATTTAAAGCGACAAGCAGTTGATGATTTGCATAGAAAGGTTTTGGTGTAAGTCGGAAGAATGAGATATAGAAATTCTAGGGGCTTCAGAGCCGAAAAAAAACAGTATTCGACATCCTTAAGAGACGCCGAAGGCAGAGACTTACTTGCTGGTCACGCCGGGATTAGGAGTTAGGAGATAAATACAAGTAGAAATAGTAGTAATATTATCTAAGGTATATTAGGGTGTCAATGGGCTTCAATCGGAGTTTTGGCCGTGGACAGCTTCGAATTCAACCCCAAGGAGTCAATATCAAGTGGTCAGGTCATCTGGTGGGCGGACGAGAGCCGATTTTTCTATTTTTCACTTAAGATAAGATCGCACAATGGCATTCGTTTGTTCACTTCACGCATTATGCCACTTTTCTACTTGCATGGGAAGAAGAGGGAGGCGCCAAAGTATATACAGAGAAAAAGGGCGCGTGAACGAACGGCCGGATACTATCTACGGTCAAGATCTAGGGAAAATATTGGCGGGGCAGAGGTGGATGAACTCTAGGTGAAAGGATGACTCGAGGGTCAAAGCGTTGACGGATCTTTGAAAGTTGTAAATTAGCAGGTTTATTTAGCGTGAATTTTATCGAGTTTGTTGATAATGCTTTCTTTTTAAATCAAGAATGGCGCAGAAAATGTACCTTGTTGCGCAAAAATTGTAAATGGCATATGCGGTATCGGAAAATCCTAAGAATCTAACGAGATATTACTAGGAAATTAAACCAATTTTTAAGACGAATTTTTTCACTGCCGGGTTTTCTATGAAAAGCATGAACAAAGCGAGGGAGAATTTTTCAAAACGTCCTAAATGTGCACCGCAAATTTTATGAAAATTCCTGCTGTCCTTAACCATTTAAAAAAGCTCAAAAGTAAAAAAAAATGTTTTCGTTACAAGAGAAGTGAAATGAGTATGTAAATGAAAAAAAGTTTTCGTTAAATTAGCCTAAAAAGTGGTCTAAGCAGGCGTAGAAATTTAAGAAAAAATAAAATGACATGCAAGTTTGCGAAAAAAAGCTTTGGTAGGCTTTTCAAAGAAGTCCAGATCCGTCAATCTTTCGGGGTTGTTTTTATCGATGGCACCATCGCGTAATAAAATTTTTCGTAAATAAAATCGTTTATAAATTATGGTAAAAATTTTTACATTAAAGCGGTCGATTAACAAGATATTACGTCGAGACAAGTCCATCGAAAGCAGTGAAAGGCTGTGCAGCGAAAAATGCCGGTTTCGGATTTGGCCGGTTGAGGGAGCAGGGCAGCTAGGATCTGCAAGAGATCGGTAGCCGCGATATGAAGTCATAGGAAAAGCCAAGCGGCCTTGGATGAAGTTGGCGTGGGAATTTGGGCACATTTTTGATTGTAGGGTGGAGGGTAACTGAGGCTTAACGTAAAATTACCCATATTATACAAAATTCATTTACGAAATTAAAAAGGAGGACGAGCTAAAGAACCGGAAAAGAATTAAATGAATTAAAAAACCTGAAAAGTTGGATCCTTGAATGGTTTGTAGGTATCTCTCGGGGGAGAGAGAGAGAGAGGAGAGAGACAGAAAGCGACTAAGAGAGAGCGAGAGAGACAGAGACACAGAGAGTGAGCGCGAGCGAGAGAGAAAGAACGAGAGAAAGAAAAGGAAAGGGAGAGAGAGGGAGAGAGTGAGCTAACAAACTTTAATTTTTGCGAAATGAAAAAGCGGGCGTAAGAACCTTACTATTAGACTAATTAAGGTATAAGAGCATGAAATGCGCATTTATATAATTTATTTTCCCTTCTACTGTTAAATAACTGAGTTTTTCCGTTCTTACAAACTTATCACTGCTGCTATTTCCACACAAAAATCACAATATAAAGAAAAAAGTTAAAAGCGATCGATTTAGTTTAGCAAAAAAGCCTTGACAAAACTTATCTAAAAAAATCAGAACAAACAGTATCGAATTAACGACCTCCTGTCACGCATGGCACACGCCTCATTGCCATTGACATACCAGGGGGGAGCCGATTTTTGCCACCCCGAATGGCAGACGTACCCGGGGGCGAAATTAGGGGGAAAAGGCTAAAGGAGCGGATTGGCAAACGGGTGGTGGCTGGGATAACGAGCTCGTTGAGTTCGGCTCTCACTCGCACTCACTTTGTCACTCTTTCTCTCTTTCTTTCTCTCTCTCTCTTTCTTTCTCTCTCTCTTTCTCTCTCTCTCTCTCCCTTTCTCCCTCTCACTCCCCTCTCCCTCTCTCTCTCTCTCGTCATTCCAAATTTGCGCCCCCGGAGGTACGGCAAAAAGGGAAATAGGCGGACGTGGATTCAGGCCGATCCGCAGTCTCCTCAGATCCGAGGAGGAGCCAGATATGCATACCTCAAATCTCTTATCAGCGTGGTAGCCGGTTCGCATCCGTCGACCCGAAGAAGCAAACCACAGCAAAACAAGTTCATATTAGAAAAAAGCAAGAGCATGGAAATGGATTGTCGTTCGTGAAATGGCAAGTTCAGGGGTTGGTTTCGATGCTTTCAGTTGCTTTGAATCCATAGATAAAAATCCGCTGTTGGTTCAGGACTAGTTGAAAAGAAACAAAAATCCTTTAGCAACTAAGGTACGGATAAGATGATTGAAAAGCACCCTTAAGTTCTGCATAGCAGCGGGTGAGTATTTCATCGACTTGGCAACTCTCTGCGCTCCATTTCTTTTGCATAAAAAGCCTAGAATTTAGCAAAACCTAATTCCGGACCGTTTACTTTATTCCATTGTTTATAATAAATAGCGTGTTTCTACCCAGTTTTTTTTTGTGAGATCTGCGCGTTTATCTTAAATTATGATATATAATGCAATGAATTGTGCAATTTTTTAGGAAATTCGAAAATCTCGCTGTTTCGACCAAACATTGTAATTTTTAATTTTGTGAGAATTTCTTAGATATTTTATTTTGGAAATATGCTAAGCCGATGGAAAAAACTATTCAGATATTTTGGCATATCTAGAGTTATGTAAAAAATTCTAATTCTCTCCTTTTAATTTTCGTGGAAAAAGCATAATTAATAGCAAGAATAAAAAGTGGAAAATCTGACAAGCAAAAGCACAAAAAGTTGCAAAGGCATTTGTCAAATCGAAAGCTTTGGGAGATCAGAATCTTTCCAGCGATCTGCGATTTCTCCCAGATGCCAGGGCTTATGACGAGCCATATGAAAATCGAAAGCCCAGACGACCTTCTCCCGAGTCGCCATGTATGTACGGTCCTCCAGATCTCAAGATCCCAGGGCGTTCATTCATGCAACACGAGATCAGGTCCCGGATGATGTGCAAAAACGTGCATATCTCCTTGGTACGCCTGGGGTTCCCTCTTGAACCTAATGGCACCCCCTCCAGGCCCGTTAAAGTACGCCCTACGAGAGCATCACCGCGACCTCGAGCGGGATCAGCTGCACATGGACACCGGCTTCCCCTTGATGTCTGCTCAGCCGGCGGCAAAAAGCACATTAAGGATAGGCGAGAGGTGATACAAATAGCGTATTTTGCGCTAGGTCTCGACAAGTTCACGAAGAACCAAATTACGTATACACCGACAATGCCGATATTCTGTCAAGATACCGGGAGATATAGCCACTTCCTATCTGCTTTAAGCGGGGTGGGATCGGCAAAAATCCGGATTCTCAGATGCTAAGCCTCGAAAGCTACGCAATGCACCAAAATACCGTAGGCCCACATATAAGCTTGCGGAAATCGTTAATAATAACAACTAGCAGAAACTTCCTGTTTCCTTTAAAGGGGCGAGAAATTGGCATTTTTCCTACCTCCGGCCTTTTCATACGACCAGGCCTTGACTGATGCAAACCCCACCAAAAAGCGGTTCAGAAAATATTCTTGCTGGGCAGAGGCCAAAGGTTGAGCAACAGCTTGTTGCTCAAGTGGGGGTATTTCCTCATTTCGCGTATCTGCCGAGCCCAGTCACCTTAGTCTCATTTTGAATTTTATTCGTTAAAAAAATTCCGTATTTTGGTGCTCTCTGTAGCCCCAAAAAGCGTTAAGAGTTAATAAGAGTTAGTCTCCCCCAAAAAGCAAAATTTCATGCTTCGTGGTCCCTTTAAAATTTGAAACTGAGTTTCTTGGTCCGAAAACCAAGAAATCCTAAAAAATCACCGAGTTAATCAACCGAACCGGGCAGATGAACAACAACAAGGTCGTCAAGTTCTGAAAGCCACCCGCCAACCCAACCCCCGATTGCCAATTGGCTCCGCTCGGAAAGTGCAAGCCCTGGCGGAACACCAAGTTCCTTAACACACACCACACACCGTAAAAAAATGGAAAGTTCGCTAACAATCAGATCTAAAAAAACAGACAAGTACGAAGGGCCGTAAGAACTTCTGGGTATTGATTTGGAAGTTGGGGAACTTAAAAATTCTTCGGTTCGTAAAACGTGGAGGAGGAAATGAAGTGCAGGGCGGAGCTCAACAAAACAGGGACTAGAGCTAAAACAGAACCAGCAAACCATTTTAGCAATTGCGCATGTCATGAATAAAACAAAAATTAAATGCTTGGGGTGAATCTGAAAAATTGCAACCTACGATTCGGTAATTACAATATGCTTAGAATTTTTAAGCGAGTAAAGCAGGCCACGCCTATTTTTTTTCCGTCCCGCTAGGAACTGCATAAAACAGAAATAGCATTAGAGATAGCATTTTGTTAAAACTGATTTTGCGGAAGTGTATTATTCAATTTTTTTGCCAGCGCATACCCTGAAAAGTGACGTAGCCTTGTGTCAGCGTAGTTCGACAAAATGATTCAGTAATCCCAGATTTTGACGAAATACCGGAAAAGACCGAGATTTGGCTACTGTTGCCTGCCACGAGCCTTTAGCTGATTTTCACGCGTTTACATTTTGGAAAGGGCGAGCAAAAACGGTAGCTTAGAAAATATGGAAGTCAATAAATCAGTATCTCAAAGCCATAAAAACATCGGTGAGCTGAGCTCTGAAAAGGATCTAGCGGGAAGCAAAAATGTGTATGAAAATCTGGAGCCAGCTACCGTACGCCTGGGTGGATTTTACTTTGCTACTTCAATTCATAGCTGCAGCCAGCAACCGTAGGTTAAAAGTTCCAGCAATCAATATCCGGTAGCCATCAAGCCCAAAACCGAAGGATTCCAAGGCTATCCGCCTAGGGAACGGAACATATGTAAAAAACCTAAACCCGGACGCTAGCGTGCAGTCTACTTTTCTAGCCCAAGCCAAGAAATGCAGTTTGTTAGAAAAGACGCAAATCAATACCCCAAAAGCCGCGAAAACAAGCCTAAAAGCGAGGGATGAATGCTGTTCGCCTAAGAAACGAGAAGTATGCCAGATATCCTCGCTAGCGTGGATTGGACTTTTGTAGCGCAGGCCAAGAAACGTGGCTTTTTAGAAAAAAAAACGCAAATCAATACCCAAAGGCCCCGAAAACAAGCGTAAAATCAAGAGACGCTAAGGGCACGGTGTCGTAAGGACGGGCAGAGGCTTCGGAAAAGGTGATAAAAACGGACCGTCAGCCGGGGGTACGAGGGCGGCACGGCGCACGGCGAACTGTATTGGGTGGATGAGGAGGAAGACAGCCCACAGCAGCGTGCCTAAAACCAAAATCGACACTTTTCGCGGCAAAGAAAGGGTGGTGGTGTTCATCGGGTGCACCACCCCCGGCAAATAGCAAGTCCGCAGCCTTGAGCTATTCGTCATTTTATAGCGGGGAGCGCTGAGACAAAATATGGAAGGAGTGGGGAGCTCGGGCTTCAGTCTTGCTCATTTTTATAAATTGCTTGGCTTCGTAAGCTACCTTTCTGATAATAAATAGGGTAAGACTTTACTTTACCCATGCCCCAGACTAAAGTTTCCAAAATTTTACCTAATAACTATTTTATATTACATCATTTTGGGGCTGTAATTTAAACTCATAGTCAATTTTTTGAAGCTCTGTCGATTCGCGTGGCCAAAATCCTGGCAAAATTGCCGTAATGTCGAAAAATTGTGGGGAACTTCCGGCGGGGTGGGGGCACGTAAAGTCTTGCCACAAATAGCCATATTTTAATGAGAATTTTCAAGTTTGAATAGTATAACTGTTTGTATATGAAGAAAACCCTAATTTTTGTCCTATTTTTTTTTCTCTGAAATTCTACACGCAAACCGCTATACGCAACGCGCCAGCAGCACTGGAACCATGATAGGCTGATAATGATTATTAAAAACTGCTAATGATGCATTCAGGACCACGTAATCTTGTTTCTAAAATTCATTACCTACCAGCTAATTCTCCAATATTTTCGACGAATTTCAGCGGTTTCTCCATGAGTGAGGTGACCAGCACCGCCAAGACGGCGGCGCAGATGATCTAAAAAAGTCGTTTTTGGCACCGAAAAACTAATTTAAAGATGAATCGACCTTTACTTCGACTAGGTCTTGACAGCTTGCGCATGAAATGTCAGCCCATTCCCTAACCTAATATATCTTTGTTCTACGTTTTTGGGCGTAACGGCGAACGGGTCGATTCTCGTACTTTTATCCCCGTCGAAAATTCCCTACCGCTTCCTCAGCCCCTTGCTTCATCGTGAACGGGAAGAAGAAGACGAGCACCAAGATGTAGCCGGTGATTTTGAAGATTTTCGGGAGGATTTTCATCCAGGCGTCTGAATATGATTACGGTATAAAAATCTTATTATACCTTTTTCAGGCGGTTTCTCGTCTCGAGGCCAGGCTGTCACCAGGGTTTTTCGGGAAGACAGGGAGTAGCTGGTGCCACAGGTTTCTGAAATTCATTGAAATTCAATTTCTGAAAAAAAAGTAATTCTTTCCTCGCTCTCTAGCGCGCTCTCTCGCTCTCTCACTCACTCTCTCTCTTTCACTCTCTCTCTCTCTTTCCCTCGCTCTACCTCCATTCTCCAATCCTTCTTTTCCATGCATTTTTAATTCGAACGCATCATTAGTACACAAGAGTGCAAGCGCATAAAAAGCGGAAATCGGAAGCTGCGACCCAAAGAACGATCGTAAACTCTTCGGAAAGTTCTTCTCTCTCTCTCGCTCCCTCTCCATGCAAAATTCCGTCTGCCACGGTCGGGTGATTAAAGGGGCGACTGTTCGGACCGGATCCTGGGGGTATTTGGCTTAAACTTTTTGCCTTTCCGCTTTTGTTCTTGCCGAGGACAACTAGGAAATGCTAAGTTCCGGTGTCCAGACGCTTGCCCGTATCCTCGGGGCACGAATTAGGGTCTGTCAGGCTAGGAGAGGCGGCGGGTGGGCAGGTGAAAGATCATCGATACGTGTCTGCAGTGATATGCACCCAGCGATAGTCTAGTGCTGTCAAGCGTGCCTAATGCTATATTATAGCCTCGGGGAACATGATACGAGGTGACAATCAATCAAGCAACGTGATATGGCAAAAGCTGATTTTTATCTGTTTTCAGCGGCTGCTAGATGAAAACGGGAAGCTGAGCCGAGAAACAGCTGATATTGAGCATATTTTATTAATGAAACAAAGTAGCATTTGCCGTCACTGATATTAAGGTGGTTTATGATTAATGCTTTCCTTAATTTATTTCTATGTGAAACAAGCGTTGAGAAACGGAAAGCTGGCTTAATTCAGTTTTTTTTTGGTTTTTATGGCTGAGAGGTATGGGTCATTTTTAACTCTTAAATTTTTTGTTTAAGTCAGAGTACCCTAAGGGCGTTATAGAAATATTTTGTGTTTCCTAATGTTTGAAGATTTTTGGTTATTTAAAAAAAATTAATTGTGAAAAATTAACGATTGAACGAACGAAATTAAAGACGCTACTTACCTATGCTTGACATACTTTTCGATTCCTCTCGTTTCAGCTCGCCGGTGTTGAAATGTAGCGGCAGCAAGTTAGCAATCAAAGCTCCGAGCCAGAAGAGCCAGAATCTAAAAATTCAATCAATTTTTGTCGTTTTTAATTTAAAAAATTGTTGCTCATTCACTAGTTTATGTCACCCAATTCCAATAATTTTTAATGTTTTTTGACCTACCTTCCAAGCTTGAAGTTGCCAAAGCTTCCCCAGAAATTCAATACAGTGAGGATTGCGAGTGTGGCATGTTCAAATTTTTCTCTAGGGTTAATTTGCATAATTTCCATACTAATCAATGCTTACTGTCGCTCTCTCTTTAACCGTTGTGAGATGAAAAATACGAAATATAGTTGGAAAATGGCTTGATAGAGCAGGCAACATATCCAGTAGTAATCGAACGGGTGGTCGCAGGCTTGTGTATGAACCTGAAAAGCGCTTTTCATTTCCATTTTGTTTTCCGGAATTTCTAAATTTTTAAAGGTACCGTAGTCTCCTAATCAATACTTACTCGATCTTTATGCAGCCTCTTTTGCAAAATCTCTCTATAGGCGATGTCCCAGTTTCCGAATCCGAGCGAAGCTAGCCCAGCGTTTTTCTCGGCGCATTTTCGGGCGGGACCTGAAAGTAAATTTTATTTCTCCGCATGATAACCTTTAGAGATTCCCTGTTTTAGCATATCTTAGGTCCGAAAAAAGCACCCTGGTACAAAAACAAGCTTGCCACCGAAAAACCCAGCAGCACCAGGTCATAAATCGGAAGCAGCGTGGTGAATTGGGCGGCCATCGAACCGAAGAGGCTTGAATTTCTGGAGAAAATGAATGGAAACCTAGGAAGGGTTACCTCTTCATTAGCTCGTCCTTAATCCTGCGGCCTACCTCCCAACCGTACGATATCAAGAAACTAAAACGTCATTTTTGGAAGAATCCCGTCGTAGTTTACATGGCATGGCCGACGTTCCAGTCGATTTTGTGGGTTTGCGAATTTTCCAGTGCCTTTCCGAGCACGAGGTAAAGTAGCCCGATGCCTTGGAGGAGTTTGACCTCGGCGGACATGCTGAAAAGGCGAGAGTCTCTAGCGATTATGCGATTAGCGATTATATATTACGTAATACAGGCCTGTCGTAACACAAAGAGAAAGAGAGAGAGACAGAGAGAGAGACAGAGGAAGAGACAGAGAGCGAAAAGTGACATTTCGGAGATTCTAATCCGACTGCCCGCCCGAGGATCGATTTCGTAAAGCGGAACTGGGCAAGAAATGCTTTTTGGTCGAATTTTTCGGCTTAGAATTGCCTTTCTTGAAGAACTAACAAGACGATCTCTATTTTGATGATCAAATCAATCATCTACCAGGTAGAATAAGTTCCGAACAAGTAAATCGGACGCGGGAAACCGTTCAGTGATGGAAAAGAGCGAAACCATGCGACAAAATCGAAATTCGTAGTTGCTCCAAGTTCCAAGCGAATCATGATGGATAGATGCGACGTTGGAGGTACATATAGCCCTATTACATTCCATGACCATAGGGAGCAAATACTGTGTGATGGAAAATAAATAATCAGAGTGCAGAAAATCATCGTAGTGGGGAGCTCACTGATTACGGTATCTAAAGATACAAGGCTACTTAAACAAAACTCAAGTTTGAAAGCATAAAATTTGGGTCAGCAAATGATACTGTCACGCTCCCTCCAAAAAATAAGCAGGGGGTTTTCGGACCCCAACAAAATTTCGATAAAAAAAGGCGCAGCAAGATCCAAAACCATGCCTTACTTTTCCTTAAAAAAATGTAAAAACGTCTTATCGCTTAACTTCTGAAGATTACCGTGCTTTGTGCTACACCTGTTCCTCCCATTTGTTACACGCCTCCCACGCTAATCTTGTTTTCAGCGCTAATTTGATCTGTTAGCCGGCGCGTGTTTGCTGCTAGTTGTCTGCCGTAGCCCGAAGGCACAGCTTGGCATGGTGGCGTCCCGTCACGGTGGATTAGACGCGTAGAATTTAGTGATTGGGAGGGCAGAGTGAAGACTAAACTGCCGCCCCGGAAGATCAGACGGAATTTGCATTAAAAGTTCGTGGTGGGTTGGAAGCAGGTGGAAGCAGCATCAGGGACAACTGGGGTGGGAAAGCAGCGGAAGCTTCGGACAAAGGGGTTGGTGAAAGCCACACAAAAACGGAAGAAAAAAGTCGGGGATGCGCAGTCAAGCTTGTTTTACAATGCAGAAATCCATAATGCCGGTAAGCCAAAATATTCATACAGGGTGGGTCAGAAAATTGTTCCGGAGTTTGTCCCCGAATATCTCGAGAAGGAAAGATATTTCACCATGCGTTACCATGCCAGAATGCTTAAATATGTCAGGAATAGAGATTAAGACCAACTTGATTTTTTCGATTTTTGGCGACGTACCCATACAAATGACACCCGAAAACTGTGCGTTCCGGCAAAACTTCGATTGCATTTTTTTGGATTGCTGGTGGTCGAATAATTCCAATTTTTACAGTGTAGGTACCTAAGGACTGCCCCTACGCACATCCGGAATTTTGGAATTTTTGAAGGTCAGGTTGGCAAGTTATAGCGTGGCCAAATTTAATATGGAGAAATTTCGTAAATTTCGAATATTACAAAAACCTGTGGTGGAAACCTCAAAACAAGCTGTTTTAGCATGTCTATAGGCTCGATACAATCCCGCAAAAATATCAAAAAAATTTTTCAGATCCGCGGATTTTTGAGTTTTTCGACGACCCCCTGGTCATGGATTCTTTCGAGGTCACGAAACCGAACTTTCAAAAAATATTTCTAAGATTGCAGATAGAATTTTGGTGTTTGCTTTGCTTGGTTGTGTAGGACTGGCATCCATCTATCATGTACACAATTTCTAGCTACCGTACCCCTTTGGAAGGTTGTTTTTTAGCGCCTCCAAAACGGTTGGTTCTTGCTATTTCGCAGACCTTGGTGCCAGTCTATAAAATTCATTTGCGCGGCTAGAATTACTGTCATAATTTTATTTAATACTACATAATGGGCGCATTCTAAGATTATATCTACAAATTTATTGGGCCATCCGATCTTTCAAAAGAAATTCATGAAGAGTCAAAATATACCCGAATTTGAGGCGACGTAAAAAAATTCTCGAGGCTTTAGTAGCCTCGGCTTTTTTGGCATAAACTCAGCTTAAGTAGTCAACTAGAACCCATGCGAATATAAAACCTTTTCATGGCAAACGAATTTAGAAGAGCACCCCAAAGTCGACTTTTCAAAAAACGTTATTTTCGGGTTTTAAATCAAAATCAACCATTAACTTTAGTCAGATCATTCCAGAACTTGGCTCTCATACACAGTTCGATGCGTGCTTTAATTGTATCCACAAAACCCCGGTGCCTTTTTCATTTTCAAAAATTCGATTTTCGAGCCAGGGCGTCGGGTCCAAAATCGGGCCCCGAGGAGGGTTTTCCACTTTCCCTTATAACTTTGTCATTTACCACAGGAATCAAGTAATTTTTTGTAGGTGCTCTTACATTCACCCAGAGAACAGTCTAGAATCGAAAAACCGTCACTTTATGGAATTTTGTCTTGGAATGCTAAAACGCGCTCCAGGCGGGTTACGGTAGAAAACCGAAAATCGCCGTTTTCTCGTTCTTTTCACCATAGAAACGTTTCGATCTTTCAGGAAAACAAATAATAGTAGTTTTTAGTCCGATGCATCAAAATATTTAAAAATTTCCGTGGCTAAATTCAAAAATAAGTTTTTTGCATATTTTAAGAAGGTGTATGGCTAGAACTTGGCGATCTTTCGCCCATGGCTGCCCCTTACCATTGTTTACCGATGATAAAATTTTAAGCAAAATCGCAGCTTACAATAAAAAGAAAAACGCGAAAAACGAAAACTACAGTATCCCTCTGGGGCACGTTTTAGCAAGCAATATTAAAATACCATAGAATCAGGTAAAATTTGGTGTTGTGCTAAAGATTAGGATTCGGAGATACCATCTGCAAAAAATCAGCCATGGGCAGCGTATTTGAAGCGAGTTGCGAATTAAAAAGTAAAAATAATCAAAATACGGAAATTTGTTTAGATTCCAAAAAAATACCTAGACCTTCAAAAATTCTAAGACTTTGATATTATCTTTCTACACATGTCAACTATTTTTAGGCCAAAATTCAGAATTTTCCCACCACCCGTTCCAGAACGCACAATTTTCGGTCGTAACCAGCGTCAATAGTACAGTTGCGTACTCAAAAATCGAAAAAATCAAGTTGGTCTTAATCTCTATTCCTGACATATTTAAGCATTCTGGCATGGTAACGCATGGTGAAATATCTTTCCTTCTCGAGATATTCGGGGACAAACTCCGGAACAATTTTCTGACCCACCCTGTATAAAAAACGTCAAAATCTAAAACAAAAACATTCAGAAAGTCGAATAAGAATGTCGAAATTTCTTAGAAATTGTCAGCATTTTTCCGGATTTCCTAATGCTAGTTCAAGACAAGCTTCGCCATACTAGAATTTGGCTTTTTCAATTTAGAGATTCTGAATTTATACTTATTAGCGTCAAGAATTTATAAGGTAAAAATTTCCAAATTTGTCGACAGTTTTATATTTAAAAATTGTCGGCTTTTTACATTGTATATTTTTATTTTCCGAAAAAGCTTTAATTTTAAAAATACGCATTAAGGATGTCCCAATGTTTGCATGGACCCCCTGCTGCTATCAATGCATCGTTTCGGCAATTCCAATCCAAAATTGCAACGCTGCGTGCTAAAAATAGCATTTTGCTAGCTATTTGATAAACAGGGTCATTACCTACCATTATTACAGGGTGTCCCAAAAAAAACGACCCATCTGGCATTTCGCCGTGTTACCCTTTACTGTTTACTGTTACCGTTTTGGGACTGATACCGACGGCATCAGTCCCAAATTTGGACCAGAGGTGTATCGGACACTAAATAACAACAATCCTGAGTTATAGCCCTGTAGCAATAGTAGTTCTCGAGTTATAACGAAAACAAACTTTTTGTTCCATTTTTCATAGGGTTTTCGTGGAATTAGACCCCCTAAACATTAAGCGAAAATGATCCCGTAGGCCTTCTTCACCCTAAGAAATTTTTTCCAGAGTAAAACTGATTAAATAAACTTTGATTTAAGCGATTTTTACAACGGAAAATTGCGCAACTTCTTAAGCGAAATTAGGGATTCACAGCCGGAAGTCGATGCAAATCGATGCAAAGTCCAAAAAGATAGCCGAAAAAATGCTTCAGAATTCCGGGAAAAACAGTGTTTTCGTTATAACTCGAGAACCACGATAGCTACGGGGTTATAAGTCAGGATTGTTGTTATTTAGGGTCCGATACACCTCTGGTCCAAATTTGGGACCGATTGGATGTAACACGGTGAAATGCCAGATGGGTCGTTTTTTTTGGGACACCCTGTATATCATTGAATAAGAATTTGTCTAGCTCAATTTTGTCAACCATTTTAAAACATTTACAAATATGCTAAAAACCATAAAATTCTGCTCCTGATCTTTGCTGCCCATAATCCGCAGCGCAAAAAGTTCCGCTCGAAATTGCTCCATTTTGTGGTGGCGCCCCGGGGTGTGCGATTGGCGTGAAAAATTCAATAGGTTCAGTAAAGTGCTTGAGAACTTCTTCAAAACAGGCCGACGGCTTAGGCAGCCAATTTGCAGGATTTTAGCACTTTCCATGCTTTCGATGGGGGTACAAAGAGTTCTGTGGTTCCGGGTTGTGCTAAAATTTCTGGCATGAAAAAAAGGGATTTCTCAAAAAATTGTTCTAGGGACTGGGGTTTTCGTAAAGTTTTTAGGGATTATGCGTGTCGGCATTTTGCTCGTCGGCATGCTAGTCGTCTATTTTGCAATTTATCGGCATTTCTAGGCTCGACGGATCGAATCCAAGCAGCTTTTAAAGATTAATTTTTGATTAATGCTGTTGTCGACATTTCGCTGTCGGGATTTTAAGATTTTCGGATCCAGAAAACGAGAAGTTTTGCACGAACTTTTCGAAATTACCGACAACCTCGTTGAGCGCAGCACGCAATTAAAAAATTCAAATATTTCAGAAACAAATTCATAAAAGAAATGCCGACATAAATGATATTCGTAGGAAACAAAATTAATCCAAGGATTTAAAAAAATCATTTAGCGAATCCAAAAAAAGGATATTTCAATTACCGAAAAATTAATAACATTCAGAATACTGATTGGCAGACCACGAGGCAAAAATTCCTAATCAGATAGCGCTGTGCGCTCCCGAAATGGTGGGGCTATGGATCGGGCTGGAGGGGCTTGGCGCGCGGATGCCGCACTGCGCGTCACTCTCTCTGCCTCTCTCTCTGCCTCTCTCTCTCTCTCTCTCTCTCTCCCGCTCTCTCTCTCCCTCTCTATCTGCCAGTGATCAGCCCCTCCAGCGATCGGCATGCTTGTCTTCTCCCCCTCCCCCCTGGGGCTCCCGGAAAACCTGCTGCCAAGAGCACTCGATCCACTCTCCCATACTATCGTCACCGGGGGCTTCAGCGCTTCCGTTTCATTGTGCCGCTTCGCGGGCGATTTATCTGGGGGATTGAAGTGCTACAACGATACGGGCCTGTTCGAAAGATGGAGGTGTAAATCTTCCGGAATTCGTTTCCATCTAGCCGAAGGCGAGACCGTAATTCGGGTTCGCTGAAGGTACGGTGCACCGGGTTTTTGATGCTCCGGTGCTTTTAGTCCCCGGTTATATTTCTAAGGCAAATATGAACTGATAGCGGGGCAGCGGAAGATCGAGAATGATCTTCAGGGTCCGGCTCAACCTCAAATCCGCTATTACGGCGAGGGGGATTTTTGGCAATGATGACGCCAGAACCAAGTCGGAGAGGTAGATGATACAGCTCAACGAAGCTATTTTCTAGAATTACCGTAGCCATATACGTTTCCATTGCCAAGAGAAGATGAAGACCGATAGAACTCCGCTCATTTTGCCCAACAATAATTTTGAGCCTGGGGAATAACCGAGGAAGAACCTGTAAAACTCCCGTTGGCGTTTGCTTATGATGATTCGCCGGCAATCCTTTGTCGCCGGACAGCGGACCTGTTTTCAACATTCGAAAGTGTTGCGCACACATCAAAGCCTAATTTATGAGCAGTCCACCCACGCAATAGTAGTGCCCAACACCAACCCCGAGACGGTCGTTATTAACCTCATTCAAATCGTTGCACCCAAAAAATTTGAATCTGCGCTAAAAAATACTGCTTTGCGAGCTACCGGCAAACTCGTCGCCGAACTTAAGCGTTTTGCGCCTACATCGATTAGCCACAGGTCTCAGATAAAACTTTATCCATTGCACCCGCATCGGCAGATCATGTAACCGGATAGAAAATATAGAAATTTGGTATTTAGCAAGGTCGACTTCGTAGTTATGCATCGTCTTCCTCTTCCTTCACTGAACATAGGCCAAGAAGGAATTTTTCGTTTCGGCGTTTATTAGTGCGCGTCTCGAAGTCGAACGTCTTGTGGAAAAGCTCTTTGTGAGGCCTGAAAAAATGGGTAATTATCATTTTCCAGCTAAAAAGAACTGTAAATTACGGAGGCTATTTTTGACGCATTAATGACAGCGAAGTAGGGGTAAATCCTAACTCACCGATAGTCCTCATCCTCCAAAATAGCGCCCAGGTAACCGATGTAATGAGTAGCGAGTCGTAGGATGGATACCTAGAACAAATGGTGATTTTAGTGCTGATATTAAAGAAGCTAAAAAAAAAGGAATTTTGGCTCGGAAGGCAAAGTACCTTTGATAATTTCGGGTGCTGACAGGGCAAAATTTCTCGTAGGTCGTCCAAAACCTTTCCAATCGACTGTACTCGGACTCGTTCTCGCTCGTTGGCTGTTTTTCTAAAAATGCTGTTTAGACAAGGATTCAATATTTAAATGGCCACAGCTAGATTGACTTGCAAGAAAGACAGAGATACAAAGAGAACGAGAGAGAGAAAGAGGAGAGAGAGCGAGAGAGAGAAAGAGGAGAGAGTGAGAGAGAGCAAGAGAGAAAGAGAGAAGAGATATGTGAAATCCGATGAAGTTGTTCTGACCTTTCATCATCCGTCGAATACTTGGTTCTTCTCCGTTCTCTCACGACAGTGACCGTTTTCCTTGGGGACTTCTGCTTCTTTTCTTCTATGTCTGGAGTATTTTCTAGAAAAACTTGATCAGATTACTTCCTTTCCTTACTACTCAGGCTCTGAAGCTGATACTCTATCAAAGCAGTGGAGAGTAACGTCATCTGATCCGCACTAAAATGGACAATTATACATATTACAGAGGTTCGTAATAGCGCGAAACAGGCTGTGCTGCTCGCGCGAACTAGAAGCTAGAAATTATGATCAATCCAAGCTTACTATAGTCTTCTCAAGCAGTCGGCGGCTAGAAACTGGGTGACGAGTTGCGTTCCAACATCATCAATCGGATTTTTACTAAAGAAAGCTCTTCATTGGTGTTTTAAAACGGGTTTACCGGGAATCGTCTATCACGGGCTCTTTAGAAGATGAAGCCACCGGTTTTAAGATATTTTCTATTGTTAGGGACATCTGAAAAATCGTGTTCTTCAGGCAAGACGTAAAAGAAGATTAAACTTGAGATATCAGGGGGTTCAATGCAAGGAGAAATTTGCTTATTTCAATTGATGAAAAATTGGGGTAATCTTGCAGAAAGTAAATGATGTTTAAGTTTGAACGCTCGAAAAGAGGAAGAGAACAAAAATTAAAACCCCCCTTCCGATAGATTTATCAAATGTAATTTCCAGATGGCGACATTTAAAAACAAAGGCTTGACCGGGGACCCAGGGTTTTAGTATTTTAAGGAATGCGGAAGCCGAGAAATTTAAATTTTTCATTATCAAGGTCTCAAAAACAAGTCTGTTATTCCCTCTTTAGCGCCTCGAAAAATCAAAAGTCAACGACCAGGTAAAAACACCTGGCAAAACGACCAACCTCAGCGATTCTTGTAAGCCTCAATTGTTCTAAAAATCACCCCACAACCGAAAAACGCACAGACGGTAGCAAAGCGGAGGCAATTGGCTTGGAGAAAAAAATTCCAGGGCGATCCTAAGCGACTGGTGGTGGGGTTCCGGCTGGGGTTGAGAGAATGAGAGGGGGGAGACACAGCTGGTGCCCACCAGATGGGCCCTGCCTTGGCACGAAGCGGCTAATGAACGCCATACCGCAACGGAAGCTGGAGGAGGAGCAGTCGGCATACCCACACAAAACAGCCGGTGGCAAGCTAGCAGGGAGTTTTGGGGAAGAAAAACTTTTGGGGCAGGGAAAACTTGAAATTGGTCAATTGACCCCCGAAAGATGAGGAATAGCATCGAGGAAGAGCTTGGTCTGTAAATTATCAAATCAGCCAAACCTCAAAAAAATACTAGGAACAATTAGCATAGCTACAAAAAATAACTACTAAAAATAGTAGGTTAGAACTTAGGAACCGCAAAACAGCAGAAAAATTTGGACAGTGGCAAGAGAGTAAAAACGGACTAACGGTATTCCGCTAGCCCCGCCCCCTCTCAACCTCTCAATCAGTACTGTTAAAGGGGGCCTGAGCGCAACAATCTACACCTAACCACTGGATGGTCTAGAGTAATGCAACGTTATTACCGTGCCTATAATCGTCAGACTAAAACGTTAAAATAGTGTTTCGGCTTTTGCAAGCTTCTAGGTTACATCTCGATTTTTTTTTTGTGGCACGGAAATACAGTTTTTTGCAGACCACCGGGATCAGCACGAAGATCAGCCACAACAGTCTTTTTAACCCACGGAAAAATACAATGATGGCCACCCGAAAAAATTAGCATTCCGAAACAGAAGCCGCCAGAATGTGCCAGCTGGGGCACCGGCCGGGACGGGGCCCTAAATTCCATCTGCCAGCCACAGCCTAGTAGGCCCCAGTGTGTTTTTTCTGCACAGCTTCGGGGGCTGAAAGGCAGTCATTTGTGAGTCGGAAGGGTGGGGGGAGAGCAGCTGGGGGCAAATTGCCCTTCTGTATCTACGGGAGGAAGAGAATGAGGGCCAGTCCGCCCCGCTCCTTTGTACCGGAATGCTGCCAGCTGGTGCTCCTCGGATCGGCTGAAACGGACCACACGGTAGGGATGAAACGCACCAAATGGCCAAATGGATCCTGGATTTCGTTGGGAAATCGGGATCTTTGATCTCACTGTCTCTCTCGCTCGCTCGCTCTCTCTCTCTTACTCTCTCTCGCGCTCTCTCGTTCTTTATCTCTCGCTCTCACCTGAGCCACTTAAGACTTCAGCGCCTCACGAAAAATCAAACTTTAACGTGCAAGTCTCTCGCTCTCTCTCACTCTGTCGCTCTCTCTCGCTCTCTCCCTCGCTCTCTCTCTCTTTTCTCTTGTTCTTTCTTTCTCTCACTTAGACAAACTAGGCCTTAAAACGTCAATGTCGAAGCGAAGCATTTGTATGAAGCAAATCTCTCGCTCTACTCTCTCGCTCTCTCTCACTCTCGCTCTCTCTCCCTCTCGCTCCTGGCCCATTTCAACCGGATCAACCCCCGGCTGGCCTGGCTGAAAAATATGGCGCTCCTAATCGCCGGCGCGGATCTATCTGGAGCCCGCTACCAGAAGGTTTTTGTTAAAGGCACCGGCGCCCGGGGTCAGCTGGTGCAATTGTAATAGGATTTGGCTAGACATTAGATCGGTCCAAGCACGAGCTACCGTAGTTGATGGCATTTAGATAGTGCAATTGATGCCATAGCATTTTCTTCATACTCATGGATTCCTGTTCGCTTTGTATTGTGCAATTTTCTTTCTGTTTAATATTCCGTCTTGATTTTAAAATATTTTATTCAATTCTGTGTCTGGTTCTTGCTAAAAATAAGATCTTGTCCGATGTGTTGATATTCGATACGATGCGTCGGCCGTGGCGGTCAGTATATCTCCACCGCCAATCCGGAATTTCCCTCTCTGGTAGTAGAATGCGTTAAAAATCGAGGTGACCCGCTTGCGATACGGTAGCACATAGTAGATGGTGATACAGGGACTGACGAGACTGACCTAGATAACGATGTAACAAAAGATTGTTGAAACATACCATTGCCAACGACAAGAAGACCCACTCTTCAAAATATGGCGCATAATTTGCATAACTGAAATTTTAATATTTTTGATAGGGCCTAATGTCTGTAAAACAGAGAACGAGAGCGAATAGCGAGAGAAAGAGAGAGGGAGAGGGGGGAGGGGAGGATAGACAAACAGACAAAAAGACGAGAGAATCTTACGGCAACTGAAACTGGCGCCAGAGATAAATCGTTGCCTGACCCATCATGCAAAGTGGAAGTATCGCTTGGATCGTTAGGGCCTGAAATTCTATAATGTTAAAATAGAATATTTAAGTATAAATAATATAATATTGAATGTAACAAGTTTCTTTTGGGATTGCTTTAGTTAGCAATTTTCACCTTATTTCCTACAGTACCTTGACCAAATTCCTCTGCGCCTTGATTGTCCCGGAACTCAGGCAGAGGTTTCCTCTCAATTTCCGCATTATTCGACAACGGAAGTAGAGCGAGATACAATAGGCTGGGAAGACGGGCACGCACAGCCACAGGAAAATGGCGATGGTCCTGGAAAATGGAAAGCTTCGCGAGATTTTGGGGCTCAATAAAGGATGACTCTAAAGAACAGGGTCAGATATTTAAAAAAACTTAAAATCCTTGGTGCTCTGGGATACTCCCTGTCACTTTCTCTCTCTCTTCCCCTCTCTCTTACCTCGCAGCAAAAACATTTTCATAGCCCTGAATTGCTGCCTGAGCTGGATCGTCGGGATATAGGGAGCCAGGTTGGTGCTCCACCAAAAGCTGTCGCATTTGAAGAGGATCGCTTGTCACGAAGGTGTTCATAACCTAAATAAGAAAAAGTCTGTGGTTTTTTGTGGGTTGGAAGAGCGATGGAGAGAGAGAGAGAGAGAGAGAGAGAGAGAGAGAGAGAGAGAAAAAAGCGAGCGAGAGAGAAAAATGGAGAAAGAGTGAGAGAGAGAGAGAGAGAGAGAGAGAGAGCGAGTGTTTGTGAGACTTACCGCTGTAATAAACACAGGAATATACAGTATCAAGCAGTACAATGCTATTCTTTTCCGCTTCGGGGCCCCGTTGGTCAAGACATAATGTCGATACCTAAAAATCATGATCATGTTCTTAAATTTAGACCAGGGTTGAAAAACCGCTTCGCGGCTTTTTCAACCCTGGCCCCGTCCTCTCCAATGATATTCTTGGCTTTGCATAATTTTCCCGGATTCGGAGGACGAAAAATGAAAAAAGCTCTTGCCGTCCCTTTATATAGTTTATATAGGCTACCGCGACTTCCGGTGCATGCTAATTTGATTCTAACAAATTGGGGTGTCCGATTTTCCATGAAAAACTTAATTTTAAGATCGAAAACATCATATTTTGTAAAATCTAATATGTGTGCAGTCATCTCCAGCCCATTACGCACCTAATGACGTATCGAACATACCCCTAAGTAGTTCCCTTCTTGAGATACTACTGGAACACGGTGATGGAAGTTGCATGCATATGCACACACACACACAGACACTATTTTTTTATATATAGTAGGATAAGAGCCGTTAATACTATTTTAACCTCTCGTTGTTAAAAAAGCAGATCGTTTAACATACCAAAAGGACAGCGGCATCAACAAGTTGTTGTAGGTGGTGCAGTGGGCGGTGATGGCGTGTACTAAATATGGAAAATTCTGGTGCCATATCTCAAAAGCGTACCATCCATACAAAGTTGAGGCGATATTTTGTGGCATAACCCGTGAAACTGGTACACGAGACCGTGCCCGATAGGAATTACCCTAAAAAAATATACTAAGTTAGGTTATAAAATGAAAAACATACCTAACCATCGCCAGCCCGGCAGACAGTGCGAGGAGCAGTTCACAGAGCGTAACACTGGAATTAAGCTATTAAGGAATGTCAGGTTTTGCGCGAATAATGATTTTTCACAGCCACTTCCGAGCATCTCGTTGTGATTAATTTTAGCAAAACGGCTGGCAGTAAAAATTTTGAAAATTAAAATATATGTATAATTTAACACATACCATCCCAAAATAATCGAGTACGATCGAAATGATCTCGAAGTGTTGTAAAAAATTAGGTAGAGCAGCGCTCCATTAAATAACACCGCGAAAAAGTCGCATAAACTGTGGACAGTAGTAAATAGTGTTGCGCGGAATGGGGTGAACGGGAAGTCCATAGTCTGCAGAAAGTCACATCGGTCAAAAATGGATACAAAAAAAACGCAGAAGATATAGAAAAATCGGTACACATAGGATAACGGGGGGGGGATAAAATAACGGGGGGGGGGATAAAATAACGGGGGGGGGGCACTCATTATTATGAAATTTGCAATTACTGAGGGATTTTGCGAGTGCCATTCGATAGAGCGTCAAAAAATATCCTAAGAGAATTAATTTCAGCCCGAAATAATGTAATAGAAATTTTTTATTGAATAAACAAAAATTGAGGAAAATCTCTGGGCCGCACATAGGATAACGGGGGGGAAAGTCAAATTTTCGAAATTTTCGAAATTTTTGGTATTTTGAAAACGTCATTCAGTAAAGCGTCGAAAACTGCCCTAGGAAAATTAATTCCAGCCCGAAATAATGTAAATGAAATTTTTTATCGAATAAACAAAAATTGATCAAAATCCATGGGCAGCACATAGGATAACGGGGGAAAGCCAAATTTTTGAGTTTTTCGATATTTTGAAAACGCGAATCGATAGAACATCAAAAAATATACTAAGAGATTTTTTTTACAACGCGAAAAAATGTATTATAAAAGTTTTGTAGCCTAAAAACTATTTTTGAAAACTATGGGCAGCACATAGGATAACAGGGGGGGGGGGGAATTTTCGGCGTTTTGAATATTTTCGAAATTTTGAAAATGCCATTCGATAGAGGACCGAAAAATATACTAAGAGTTTTTTTTACAGCCCGTAAAAAGCTTATTTAAAAATACTTTTATCATATAAAAGGTTTGAGTGCCCCCCCGTTATTTCCCCCCCCCCGTTATCCTATGTGTACCGCAAAAAAAGATACAAAAAAAACGCAGAAGATATAAAAAAATCTGCGCAGTAGATTCGTCTAGTACGCGGATGTCCAATGGCTCTCGTCTTTAATTTTGAGCTACAATCACAAACACCCAACCTGTAGAAGAACGCTAGCAATTATCTATCAGAATTTCGTGTTTGAACCCGGCTCAGCTGACCCGAATATTTTTATTTTTATTGCATAGCTCAAGTCGCGAACTTACACCGTGGGCAGGTGAAGCATTTAGAGACAAGGTTTTGCAATAGCCCAGGGCTGGTGGGCAGGTTTCGGCCCCGGAATCCGGGGCCATGCCCAGAAATTGGTTTTGCGCAGGACCTAACCATTCTCAAAATAGCTTAAAATAGGTGGTTTGGAAATAGCCCGTTTTCTCAATTCCTAGAATCGGACTTCCGCCTGGAAATTTCTGTCATTACCGTAGCTAACTTTATATGAATTTGAACGTAGCTTTGGGCTCAAAAATGCGAAAAAAGTGACGCTCTCTATAGGAAATTTCAGTAAAATATAACTTGTTGCCACCTAACATCAACGGCTGTTTTTTTGAGAAGTATTTGAATCTACTCGACTTTTTGTAGGGCTGGAAGTTACCGAATTTGAATTAAATCGTCCCAGACGATCAGCGGGACAGGAGAACCTAATTGTCCTGAGTCATCAGATGTACTTGGATGGGCTTCCGCCAAAACAACTGATTACTCCATCTGGTGAATTTTTTAGGCCAGCAGCGCACATGCAGGGTATTAGGGTGCAAAACGCATTAATGAATAGAGCCGAAAATTTGGGTCAGCAATCTTTGGAGTTGAGCGGTCGTAAATAGTACCCTAACCTTGCCTCCGGTTCTGGGCGGAGATTGCGAAACAATATTGATAAAGGGGTTCGGTTAAGCGGGGAAACCAAACTTCATTAAGTCGGCTTGGTCACTAGCTGAATTGGACCCAAGAATACAAAACAACCCGGACCAGGAAATGCCCCGAAAAGGGAAATGAGGGCTACGGTTGAAAATTGGCAATTTTCGGGGTCGGAGCAGACGTGACTGGATACAGCTAAAGGTGCGGCACGTGGAAAACTGCTCAATGCTAAAATCCCAGACTAGAATTGGCTGTGGGTAAATGACCTCGAAAGACGCGTCAAGGGCGTAGTGACACAGCGAAGTTGAGAAATGGCCAGAGTTTAAACCCTGTAGTGTGTAGCTACAGGTCTGATTAGCACGAGCGCGCAAGTCGAATAAGATATCGGCTCGCGCTCATGCATTTAGTCTTATAAATAACCTAAAAACTTGCTGAATTTTGCCATAAATATGGATTGATATAATTGAGTTCCCGTAGGCAAAACAGGAGCTAATAGCAATTTTTATTGTACTCATAATACTAGACACCAAAAAAAATCCCGGAAAAGGATAGCCCGAACTGGATATCTGCCACGATTGTAGGTAATAGGCCATTGAGTAGCATTTCTCATGGTTTCTGAAGATTTCCACGAATGGCCCGAGCAAAAAGTGGAATCTCAGGAATATTATCGTGTTCGTGACTTTGAAGGCGTTTCAGAGCGTGACAGTGACAGAGAGTGAGAGAAAAAAGGGAGCGAGAGAGCAAGAGAGAGCGAGAGAGAAAGAAGAGAGAGAGAGAGAGAGAGAGAGAGAGAGAGAGAGACCGACAGCGAGCGCGAAGTTGGCCTGGTTTCCCAAAGCATTTCTGTTGGCTTGCTTAGGATGGCAAGAAGGCTTGCAATCTGGCAAGGAGACATAAACGTCTATGAACCAGATGAAAAGCGCTATTTTACCGTATCCTGTACCTGACCAAAATGCGTCAAAACAATTATTGAGATGCACGCACCTCATTTTCAGCTCTGCCGTTCGGGAAGCGGAGATGGAGAGACAGAGAGAGAGAGAGAGAGAGAGAGAGAGAGAGAGAGTGTGTGAGAGACATTCATATAGTGATAGAGAGAGAAAGAAAGCTAGTGAAATGAGCCAAAAAAAATTGCCGACAGGTGCACCGGGTGTGGAAGTCCAGAAAATATTTTCGTAGCTTGCTCCGCCGTCGTTTCCCTTTTTTACCTAATTTATCGCCGACGGCGACGGATTTGGGAGCCGATTGTCTGTGCCAAATAAAATGTACTCACGTTTGGTTCTTCCCTAAAAATGATGCTCGAATTTGTGTGGACGATTTGGTCATTTGTCCCCGCTGGAACTTCGGTAAAACAAATCAATATCTTGTCGCTTTTGGGAATAAAAATTCAAATACCTAGATTTTATGCGGCTACCAGAAACTCGGATGCTCAAGGTATTAAAAAGACTTTAATTATCTGAATAATGCAAGTTATCCTATGTTGAACTAAAAAAATATGCGATTTGTGTAGAGTGTACTCCCTATTAACGCTTCAATACCTTATTATTTTATGATTTTGAAAAACGAAGAAAATATTTTCAAAAGGACTGCCCGGATCTTCTTTTTCCGCTTGAATTGGTCAATTGACATTCCTATTTTGCACTTTTTCTTTCACAAACGTAATTATCAAATTTATCCCGATTTTATAAACTACATAACATAATTTAGGCGATATACTTCGAATTCCGGGAAACCTTGGAATTTTCGGTTAAAAAATGGGAGTCCCGATTGTGGGAGCAGCTGTGAATTCGTTGTGGCTCGACGGCCCTCCAAAACGTGAAAATATGTATAATTTTCCTGCGGTACGGCCCGACGTAGTAGATGCTGATGCACGGTGTGCAGGCGCTTACCTTAAACTAATTAATAATCCTACTACCAGGGTTGAAAAGCCGCTTCGCGACTTTTCAACCCTGGCCCCGTCTAACCCGCAATATTCTTCACTCTGCATACGTCTCTCGAATCCCGATAAGAAAAATGGAAAATGGCACTCTCTACCTGATTATATAGGCGACCACCCACTTCCGGTCTATGCTAATTATACCTAACGAAGAGGTTTTTACAAAAACCTAAATTTAATAGCGAAAATGGCTAATTTTTAAAAATCTGATATGTGTGCAGTCATCCCTAGACCATTACGCACCTAATGACGTATCATACGTAGCCTAATACCCGTCCCTTCTTGAGATAACCTCCGGACAGACAGACGGAAGTGGATGCAAAGTGGCACACACACACACACAGACACTATTTTTTTATATATAGTAGGATATATAAAAAAATAGTGTCTGTGTGTGTATGTGTGTGTGCCACTTTGCATGCAAATTCCGTCAGGTTGTTCCAGTCGTATCTCAATTAAGGGGTTAGCTAGGGGCATGTATTATACCTCATTAGGTACTCAATGGCCTTGGGATGACTGCACACTAATAACATTTTCAAAAATTTGCTGTTTTCGGCGTTAAAATTAAGTTATTGTTGAAAAATCTGACACTCTCTTTGTTAGGAAACAATTAGCATACGCCGGAAGTCAAGGTAGCCTATGTAAGGGAAGAGAGGCAGCGTTTCTCAGTTTTTTCCATCGAAAATCGCGAGAATATGCAAAGTGAAGAATATCATGGGATCAGACGGGGCCGGGGTTGAAAAGTCGCGAAGCGGCTTTTCAACCCTGGTTAAGAACTAAATAAATCTTGTTCATTGAAGTGCAGGATGCAAATACTAATGAAGTTATACAAATGTGGAGCAGGCAAAAATAGTAAAAATCGTATGAAAAATTAGCAAAAATGCAATCACCGTACCATTGCTAGCGATAAAAATACCGATTCTTCGAAATAGGGCAGCAATTCGAGGTACCTAAATATTCTAAATTTTAACGAAATTGCGTGTCATATTAGCTTTTAACTTTTATAAACAACCAGGGTTGAAAAGCCGCTTCGCGACTTTTCAACCCTGGCCCCGTTTGGACAAATGAAATTGTAAACTTTGCATAATTCCGCCTCAATCAAGCTGATAAAAATGAAAAGAAGTCCTTCCATCCCTTTATATAGGCTTCTTCTACTTCCGGTAGATGCTAATTGTTTCCTAACAAAGAGGGTTCCCGAAAATTTTAGAAAAACTTATTTTTAATATCGAAAATAGCTGATTTTCACAATTCTGATAAGTGTGCAGTCATCGCAGAGCCATTACGCACCTAATGATGTATCATACGCACCATAAAATTCATCCCCTATTGAGTTATCCTCCGGACATAGAGACGGAAGTTGCATGCAAATCGACACACACACACACACACAGACACTATTTTTTATATATAGTAGGATACAAATTACCAAAATTAAGGTTTCAGTTTCAAAAGCGCCTACGGTATCTGTAATTGATGTGACATATAGGAAGTCGACTGCGTCATGGCGAAAAATGGCAATACAGCTTGTATAGTCAATGCCTAAAAATATTGTGTTGAGCCCAGAAATCTATTTATTTTACCGTAACCAGATTCCGTTGTGCAACTACCGTATGCTGGCTCATGGCGTTATTAGTGTTTAGTGTTTGTAAGATCTTCCTCCGAAAATAAATCGACAAGATATAGCATGGAAAAATCGGGACACAAATCCAGATCAAGACGAGGGCGTTTCTGAAAAACTTCTACGATAGAGCGGGTCAAAGAGAAAAGGAGAGAGACAGTGAGAGAGAGAGTAATAAAGAGAGAGAGGGAGGGAGAGAGAGAGAGAGACAGAGAGAGAGATACAGAGAGAGAGAAAGAGAGAGAGAGAGAGAGAGAGAGAGAGAGAGAGGGCCTCTTACTTGATTTCGTACATATCAAAATTCCCCATTACAACGGCTATCTTGGTGTCGTTTGGATATAGAGACCCAGGGCCTTGTTCGGCCAGCATTTTCTGGACAAGAATAGGATCATCAGCGGAAGTGGCTTGGTCGAGCTGAAGCTTTAAATTTGAATAAGGTTTCCGGAAATCCGAAGCGCACAAAATTTCCGGCTGTTTACGGACTTACCATTACAAAGAACGAGGGCAAATATATTAGAAAACACATTAAGCCTACATTCCTAGGTTTGGGTGCGGTATGATGGAGCACGTAGTGGCGGTACCTTAAAAAATTGCTCACAAGGAGTCGCTTTTAGGTGCTTTTGGAGTTTCGGCACGGGACTTAGCTAGTTCGATAGAGAAAAAATTTTGAGTAACATCCGGTTTTCAAAAAGTGCTGATCGATAAAGCTGTTTTAGAAAATTTAATTTGAAGTTCGTGCTTTTTTTCTAGTTTTCGGGTCCATTTCCTCGGTTCACGTCGTTTTCGGGCCTGGGCAGGGCGCCATTCGTAACCCTCCGCCAATGCCTCCATGACAGGTTGCATTGGCGTATTGGTAGCGCGCTTGCCTACCAACTTTTTAACATTTTTTTTGCCTCGGGTTCGAATCTTCGCGCTCGCTAACCCTTTGCTTTTTGGTTCTTGAACCCCTTTTCGGTGCATAAAATTTTAATTAGCAAAAAAGCAAAGAGTTAACGATAAATAAGAATCGAACTTGTGGCAATAGGTCAAAAAAAAATTCGCAGGCGATTGCACTAGCCACTTGGCCATGCCTAGGACGGGATCTAAGGCGCGTGGAGTCCTCATGTGGCGGGGGCGGTCGACCGCCGCAAATAACCTCAAATCACCACAAGGGTCCGGACCCCGGAGACCATTTTTAATTAAATTAAATTTTCTAAAACACCTTTATCGATCAGCACTTTTTGAAAACGGGATGTTGCTCAAAATTTTTTTCTCTATCGAATTAGCTAGGTCCCGTCCCGAAACTCCAAAAGCACCTAAAAACGACTCCTTGTCAGAGAAAGCGCTAGAGCTTACCAAAATGAGAGTGGCAATAGCATAAAATCATAGGGGACACAATGCGCCGTGATTGATTGCACTGAAAATCTATAAATTTGAGGGACGGTGAGAGACAGGGAAAGAGAGAAAGAGAGAGAGAACGAGAGCGAGCGAGCGAGATAAAGCGATTGGACTTGCCAGCCATACAAAAATTCGGAGAAAGAAAACGACAAGCTCCATGAAATTGATAAACCAGACTTCGGCCAATTGGGATGACTCTGAATGCAATAAAAACGGATAGCATTAGAGCTAAGGATATAAAACAACCTCGACATTGCTAAAGCAGCTGATGAGCCGAGTACAAGTTCCGATAGGGTAACGCTAAAACGCCGCATGTAAGGAAGCACGTGTCTTTTCGTGCTCTCTCTCAATCTCTCTCTCTCTCTCTCTCTCTCTCTCTCTCGCTCGCTACCTTAAAACTTACCACGCCAAAATAATCGAGTAAGACCTAAAAGTCTTCGCAGTACAAAACAGAATCAGATACAGCAATGTTCCATTAAATAGCATCGAAAAACAATCGCAGACAACGTGGGCAGTCATGAAAATCGTGGCCCGGAGCGGGGTGAAGGGGATCATCATCTTATCTAAAAAAACTATATTTTCGGCTCATAAGGAAACTGAAAACGAAAAGACGAAAATTTGTGGACATCACAAATTTTCGAAACATCACAAATTCATAATGGTTGTGGGAAAAGTGAAAAGGTGATGGGAATATGAGTAAAGATTGAACTGCCGCTTTCTTGGGATGATTCTGATATCGATGACTCAGTTATTTAAAAAGAACCGCGTTAGAAACTTAAAAATATAGTCTAATTTACACATAGTAGCATACAAAATTCTAGCAAACTTTCAACAAGCCAGACTCCGATCAAGCCTTGTTTTGTCCATATTTTTCCGGAAATGAATTCAATTTCCGCGCTGGACTCGGTACGTGAGAGCTTTTTATCCAAAATTTGATGCCAGAGTGAAAAACAATCCGAATTGACATTTTCCACAAGGATCTCTGCTAGCTTGCCTCGAATATGATTTCTGGCCTGTAAGAGGTTTTTGATATTCATAGAACGGGCTGTAAACGGAAATGCTTGGCAGTACAAGAGATGTGTTGATTATAAACCACACATTGCCCACTCCCCACTCTTATTCAACTACTGAATAAAGTATATATATATATATGATTAACTGTGGTTAAAAATAACAAATGCAACTTGAATAATACGTCGTTTAGGTTATTTTTATCACTCTCAATCTCTCGCGGTCTCTCTCACTTCTCTCTTTCACTCTCCTTGTATTCTAAGCAAAATTGAGTAAATCTATAAACCGTCACGATCCAGAAAAGCCAAGAAAACACAAAATTCAGATAGCCAGTGAAATTTAGGGGTCGCATCTCGGCAAAATTAGCGAGTCCACCCAGGATTTCCGGGTAAATAGATCCGGAAAATTAGTGGAAAAGATTGGTGGTTGCCAAAGAAGGCTGCCGCCCATTTGCCCTACTTCTTGGATAAATAAAAATACAAAATCAGCTGCATAGACTTGCACCTGTTTGTATGGTCGCCCACATGTTTAAATTGGGGACAATGCTAATTCAAAGTCGCCGGAATAGTGGAAGTCAGTTTCAGGGTCCGGGTCAGGCTTTAGTTGACCCTCGCCCCACGCCAAAAGCACTCAACGTTTTCGGTATTTCGCTATTTTGGCGGGATTTTTGCATTGCCATTCGATAGCGTCGAAAATTATACTATAATTTATATATTTGCTATTATATTTAATAATTTAATTTATGCCTACAATAATGTAAAATAAAAAAGTTATAGCCAAAACATTTCACATGGGGGTAACGTAAAGTGTAGCTGAAGTTTGACACAATCAGGGCTGCCCAAACTTTTTGAGGTAGAACTTTCACAACCGATTAGAGCGTCAGGGTGAGTTAGTGCTTCTCATAAATACGTTCCAGAAATACAGAAAATACCGGCTTACTTAACATTTCTGTTACTTTGAAGGACTGTGTGATTTCGCAGGTACCATTCGAAGGGAAACGAAAACCCGAAAAGCGATATTTCGCATTAAGTTTATCATTAATACCAGTTAAGTCCCATAGTACGGTACTGTTCATCAACTGCAATGGTTTATTATGAGGTCAATATTATTAATATTAAGCGCGTATTATTAGTGCTAATTCGGTCTAGCAGAGGTCGATCTTGTTCTGCGCGACGAGGTTCTTGTACCAGATGGCCGAGGCCTTCGGGGTACGGGTCTTGGCTGGCGAGGTGAAGTCGACCTAGAAAATCAATACAGCGTAAAATTTAATTTCATAACTTTTTCCGAAAACTATCAACTCTGAGTTGAGAACTTACATGGTACAGGCCGAACTTGGTGCCGAGGCCGGCCGTCCACTCAAAGTTGTCCATCAGCGACCACACGGTGTAGCCCATGATGTCAACGCCGTTCTTGAGGGCTAAACAAATTGAAGTTGGACCCGTTTTAAACTTCGTGAAATCGTGTACAACTGCAAAATTTGTATCCTCTTATACCGATTAATCAAAAAACTATACCCTTGCCGACGGCGGTGATGTGCTCCTTGATGTAGCGGGTGCGGAAGACGTCGTTTAGGCCCTCCGGGTAGACGCCGGGGGTTGGCTGAAGGATGCGGTATCAGCCCCATTGGACAGAATTCTTAGAAGATTTTCAGTGATTTTCAGTTGGTTTAATGCCAAAATCTAACATTTAAAAATATACTGAGGGCTGAATTCCACTTTTTTAACCACTAAATTTCACCTGCGCATCCATGGCTCCGTTCTCGGTGATGAAGATCGGTTTCTTGTAGCGGGTGTAGAGCTGAAAAGGTTTTTCTAGTTTGTGGTTTGCTCTGTATCTTTTTCTGGCTTTCTCTCTCTTTCTCTCTGTCTCTCTCGCAATCTTCCGCTCTCTCTTCATTTCTAGCACACTCAGTCGATCCATTTGCTCTCTCGCTCTGGCGCTCTCTCTCGCTCTCTCTCATCGTCTCGCGTTTTCTCGCAATCTCTCCCCCCTTTTGTAAGTCTCTCTCCCTGTCTCTCTCTTTTCTCTCTCTTTCTCTCGCTCTCTGTTTATTCTAATTTTAAGACCTACATCAACCAGCGAGGCATACATGCCCTCGGCGTAAGTGCTCACCCATCCTCCGGGGACGCTGTAACAGAAAACCGTTTTTGAGAAAGAAAGTAATCTACCGCGGAGCAACATCGTCAGGCAAGTAGGTACCAGAAGCCATACAGTCAAAGTTGTACCAGCTGGTGGCGGTGGAGTAGTTCTGAAAAAATGTGAGTTCAGATATGCATTATCACTTACAGCAATCGGGGTAGCGACGAGAGTGATGTAGTAGTTGAAGCCGAAGAAGTCGACGGTTCCTGAAAATCAAGCGATGATCATTGTAATGAGGCGCCCTCAGTTGAGGCACACTATAGTGCGTCACTGCCGGTGTACGTGGCACCAGGTAAGCATAAATAAAGTAGCCTGCGGACCCTTGATGTACTTCTGCTCGGCCTCGGTGAAGTGCGGCAGACGGCTGACGGTGCGGTTTTCCTGCTTGGACAGCTTGTCGACCTGCTGGCGGAGACGAGGCGGGTACTCTCCTGAAATTTAAGGTGTCGTCTGTCTAGGAAATCTAGTCAGGTCTAAAATTACATGAAATGTGCGTCCAGGTACACCTGATGGCCTACATGGTGCGTATCGTAATGTACAATTTATTGTACGTACAGGAAGGTAACATATATGGCGCGTACTTCAACGTACGTCACTGGATGCGTACAATAATATGTATATTGATAGTCCGTCTAAGAAAGCCTTCAAAAATCATCTTTCCCGCCTTATCCCCGTCTCCTATCTACTGTGATCGTGTTCTCATCAATCTAGTCTCCTATTCCATTCCCCCTTCACATATCTTCAGAATCTTATTAATCCTAATTTCCCTTTATTTAACTTTCCCCTCCATCACCCTATTTACGCCCGATTTCCTCATACTGTAAGCGTTGACTTTGTTAACCTTGTGTGAGAATAAATAAATAAAATAAATAAATAATAAATAAGGTACGTATCGTATCTCAAGTTATATCAACAACTACTACTATACTTCTAAGTCCCACGTACATCAAGGTACGTACTGGAGTTTTCGTATGCCAAAGAACGCTACAGGATGCGTACCTTAGCATACACTGACCGGATGTAGCTCGATGTACACTATAAGACACGTACATCAAAGTACGTTCTGATGTCTTCGCATTTCAGAGAACGCTACAGGATGCGTACTTCAGCGTACACCACGATGAGCGCACCTTCACACCTCAACGCGCGCTACAGGATACGTAACCGCAACATATACCACTTGGCGCGTACGTACGCCTTCGAGCCTTGGTTCTGCGTACTCAAACTTGCGTCTTGGGCCCTACATGGAGCGTTCACTCTATTATTACTTACCAGTGAAGAAGGGGTGGATGAACCAGTAGTTCTGCATCTGGTTGATGCGATCAGCGACGCTCTGGTCGACACCGGCAGCAGGGACGGTCCAGCCGTTGACGTTCGTGATTCCGACCTTGGCTAAATGGGGCAGATGGATCATTCCCCTCACTATGAACGTGTAGCGTACGTCTCACAACACCTTCAGTTCTCCGAACTAGTTACCTCCAGTCAACCGGCACTTGATGCACCACTCGAACCGCTTGTACGCCTTGGCGTGGGCGAGGATCATGTTGTGTCCAGCCTGGTAGGGGGCCCACTTGCAGTGCTCCTTGAAGCCACCGGGCGCGTGGTTCGAGATGGTGCCGCAGTAGGCGTACAGCGTCTCCGACTTGGCCTCGTTGATCGTGATCCAGTACGGGACCTGGAAAATGAGAAGTGAGCGGTGCTAGAGGCGTCATCGGTTCTAGAGAAAGGTAGAAAAAAACTAAAGCTTTGCATTACCTTATGTCCATAGGCCTGGAAGAGGATCTCGGCGTAGTCGGCAAACCAGGTGCTGATCTGAAAAATTTTCGTATAACTTTACAGTGTTTTTTGTTGCTTTTCGTTGCCATAACTTCGATATTTTACGTTATTTTGAGCTGAAATTAAGGCTTTTGGTATATTTTATGCTTGCCTATCGACTGGAGTTGAAGAAATTTGTATCGAAAACGTTGAAAAGTGGCTATGTCAAAGCCACCATGTCAAAACCAGGTGTAAATCTAGACCTTAACTATGTTATTTTCATGATTTTGAGCTGAAATTATATTTCTTAGTATATTTTCGATGCGCTGTCGAATTGTGCCTTCAAAATACCGAAAAATGTCGATAATCCCGTAAGCCAGCTTTCTAGGTATCGCTATTTTTGCTATAAATTTTTTAAGTTAAATTTTTTTTTGGGCTATGGTTCAAGCGATAAAGATATTTTGTGATTCACTAAAACAGGGCCAAAAAAAAGTCGAAAATAGGAAAAATATTGATGGCCAATATACTCCAAGGTTCATCATCTTTACCTGGGGGTTCAGCCAGCCTCCTTGGTCCATCAGGTGTTGCGGCATGTCCCAGTGGTACATGGTGACCTAGAAAAAACCGAGTAGATTTTTTTGACGGGACCATGCAAAGACGTGATACCGCGTGAGCGAGCGAGAGATAGAGAGAGAACGAGACAGAGAGAGTGACAGAGAGAGTGAGAGAAAGACGGAGAGAGATATGCTAAAAACATCTGGAAAACCCACAACCGGGATGATGCCATTGCGAATAAGTCCGTCGATGATCTTGTGGTAGTAGTCGATGCCCATCTGGTTCTTGCTCTCCTTGAGCCCCGTGGGCAGAATTCGGGGCCACGAGATCGAGAAGCGGTACGACTTGACGCCAAGTTGCTTCAGGATGGCAAAGTCGCTCTCGTAGAGGTGGTAGCTGTCGCAGGCGACATCACCGGTGTTGTTGTCGGAGACCTAAAGTGGTACTTTAACAAAGCCTTCAATTGTAAAGTCATCAATAAGACTTTCGAGGATGTTTGTTTCATAAATTTTCTACAAAAACCATGCCTTTCCCGCAGTATGGGTGTATGAGTCCCAGATCGAGAGACCCTTTCCATCCTCCCAGGCTCCGCCCTCGATCTGGTAGGCCGAGGTGGCGGTACTCCACAGAAAGCCCTTCGGGAATTTGTAGGAGGTCTGAAAATTACAGTGAAATGAGCACCCTAGTTTTTTTACCGAGTTCTCCGGCACGCAATTGTAGAGTGCTGTCACCGAGCTGGCGAGCAGCAAAAGTCCAAGCGAGGTCCTCATGGTTGACCTGAAAAACCAGGCCTTTTCACCTTTTTTCAGGAAAAACAAAATGTTAAGAAAACTGAAGCTATAAATTTTTTTCAAAGTTAATCTGATCTAATTTGACTGGTAATTAAACGTAAATTAAAAATTGGAATTTTAGCTGTCATAAAATAGTTCAAAGAATTGGGAAAATGCAATTTTGTTAGGTTATTTAAAAATCAAAAATCTAGACCGAAATGCCATAATCCTCAGCATACTCTTGCTTCCAGATGTACACAGTTTGTTCGCGTATTTTGGGTATCTGTTTGTTTTCCCGAGAACTTGATTTTTTTTTTGGGCGGTTCAGGTACGAAAACGGCCAAAGGATTACTTAACCTTCTTAGTATTTGCTCTGTTATTACAAAAATATCGAATATACTAGACCATTATCTTAAAATAACGACTACAGTAATCCCAAAGATACGGTATCGAAATCCTCAAAGGCCCCGAAAGTTCCGGAATCTGACCTGCCCCTTCCACGGCGTTCCTATTTATACGGTGCCATGGAGGGGTTCCCGAAAAACGTTTTTCCATGATCACTGTGGCCCTAAAAGTGCTATCAGCGACCCTAAAAGCTGACCTGTTCCTCGTAAACGGGAAGAACCCCCGGGTGATTTTTTGGGCTTTTCGGTGCCGGGCTTCCCCGCTCTGTTGGCTGATCAACGGACCCGAAATTTTTATGTATGGTTATCAGGCAAGGTTCGGGAAACCCGGAGTCTACGGTGTCTATAGATAGATTTGGGGTTTGGAATTCGTTGAAAGCAGAAAAACGACGAAGCCGATATGAGAATTGGGCCCTGAACAGGGAAGATACGTTTTTGTTGAGAACCGTTAGTACGAGACCTTGGTGTTTCTGGAAAATGTGGTTCAAAGGAGATGTTCAAACGCCCTTTTTGGATTTGGCAAGCTGGATATTGAAATCGACGCATGAAATTTGGAAACACGGTTTATACGGTCACCTTCAGACCCTTAGCATGCTCCGAGCACGATACGTTGATGGGGTTTTTTCTTTAGCGAACTGGAAGGATATTTCGTGTTTGAAAACTCAAACCAACCTGGAAGCAGTAAGGGACTCAATGTGGGAAAAAACTACGCTTTCAATATGCAAAAGCTTGCTGCTCGTTTTACAGACGCGCCAAAAATTATTGTCGACGAGTGCGCAATAATCTAACCTTAACCCTCATAAACCAGGACGCACCGGAAGCTTGCGCCTATAATCGCTCTTTTCGAATTTGAATGCGTTTCAATTGCCGCCCTGCAATTTCTTTTTCACCAAAGAACATGGGCACCATCACCATTCGGCAAAAAGTCAAGACCATTAAATCACATCAGCTCACCACATCTGAATTCAACCGAACTTAACTAAATGAGGTCGTCCATTGGATCCGAAGATGTGCGGCAATTTTGAAACTGGACTTCTGCTTGCTTTTAGGCTCTGGAAGACCATGCATATTGCGCCCCGATCAATTCGCATCACGCATAGCTTCATAGTGATGCTCTCTGCTTCTCTCTTCTCTCATCTCACTCTACGCAAAACCTTGAAAAATCCCTCTATCGAAGTGTTGCCAAAGTTCTGCCCCTGACCCTGCACGGGTTTTGCTCACGGAAATTCCCGCCCCTCCTCGCATGGAGTCGCGACATACATCTTTCGTTCCGGATCCCCGATCTTGATTTCAGAATCGCTGACAAACAACGCATATGGTTTTTGGTTCCCCGAATCCTGGAATTGTTTTCTGATGCGTTCCGTGCCCGCAGTTTGGCCCGGCCTATAAAACAGCCATTTACGGGCCAGAGTCCCAAAAGATCGGAGCCGTGTTCCTTATCACAACGTCGGGAGAAGCGACGAAATGTGCGGGTTTTTTGTGGTCTGTTCCGATTTTTGAGCGTCGCACTTAATAGGCCGATGGGTGGTGGTGCCCCGACGAACTTTGGATGCTCAGGTGATCCCAGGCAGCTGGAGATCAAGAAACCGCGAGCTAGAATTTTATTCGAGTTGATTCGAAAAAAATATATCAAAGACTGAAATCAAATATATTTTCTTTCTTGTCAAATTTTTACAGCGTTGTGTAAATGTCAATCAGGTGCCTGTCAATTATCTCAATCCAAAGCTCTGATCACTGAAATGTCAGAAACGCGCAAAGAGCGAATGTGGAAAGGGGCACGGTGTAGCCGTCAATTGAGCGACGCGCCGCACCTCTAGACATTTCGACTCTGTGCGCCTGTCGTAGGACGCTATCCCTTGTGTTTCTTTAGCTTATCTTAGCTAACGCATGATTTAACATCGAATAACGTAAAAAGTTGGTTATTTAATTGGATTGTCAGTACTATTAGTCGTTTTTAGAGTCTTAGGATTGTATATATTATTTATTCCTCGTTGTATCTGCAGTTCGTTCCCATTAAAAGTATTGCCTCGATCTCTTCCTCGCGTTTTCCGGCTCCAAATGCGACTCTCTGGTACTCGATGGAATCGGATGTAGCTTGTAGTTGTCTTTTGTCTTCTTCCAAAATTTTAAAATCTCGACAATTTTCTTCCGATACGGCGATACGTGATACACGATTACTAGTGGGTTTAGAGCGCTGATCTAAGAACTCATAGAAGTTTCATCATCCCAAAAAAATGTGCTTACCGTCGACATCGACAGCCAGATCCATTCTTCAAAGTAAGGTATTTGGGCATAGAAACTAAAAACATAAATTAATTTAACGACTAAGAATAAGCTTACGGTAGCTCGAACTGCTTCCACAGATATGAGCTCGACTCGGCCATGGTTATGCAGGGGATCACGAGTTGGATCGTGAGAGCCTAAACTACAACTTTTTGGGGTACTTATGAATTGGAAATTTGATTCAATTCCGGTCTGCGATACCTTACATTTAGTCTTGGCGTAACAAAAACGTTATAGAATACCTTTAACAAGCTTTTCTGCGCTTCTACCGTACGACGGCTCATGTGTACGTTTTCGTGTAGCTTCTTCAATATTTTCCGTCGATAGTATAGGGATATGGCGTAGCTTGGAAACATCGGAACAGTCACACCGAGGATCAAGATAAATACGCTGAAAAAAATTGGTTTGACTCACGATGCTCCGATTGCTGTTTTGGGCTTTTGCACTCTTCGCTTTCTTTTAGATACCGCTATTTTCAGGGCATGCCCTTTAAAAATGTGTTCAATCGATTACTCACCGAAATTCATAAATATTCTCGTGTCCTATTGGGATAGCCACACTGAAGTCGTCGGGATATAGCGATTCGGGCTTTCTTTCTGCCAATAGGTTTCGTAGCACTATTGGATCGAAGTCTCCAGTGATCTGGTTGATCTAAATCGATTGTTTTGGTTATTTTTTTCTTAAATGCCTACAATCAATAATATAGAGGGAATCGTGAGCAAAAGGCAGATGAGGGCTGTGGTTCTTGGGCTCGGCGCCGGCTTCCCGAGTACGTAATTTCGATACCTAAATTTTGAGGGATTTTTGAGAATTCAAAAGGTATGTAGTACCAAAATGAAAACGATAACAGCATGTAATCATAGGGTATCAAATCAGCCATTAATGCTTGATCTAAAGAAACAATCAGCTTTGCGACCGTACCATCCGCAACTTACTAATCATGCAAAAACGGCCAGATATTTTCCGGCAAGGTCCATGACAATAATAAATAAGTGCAGTGCCGATTGGGACTGTTCTAAAGCTATTAATTTTTCTTTAATTGCCTAGAATTTATATTTTGTTAATATTTAAAAGACTTTTAATCTGATTACCTTGTCATGGTCATCATCGCCGCTGCACCAATAATAAGCTGAGCGAGCGTGTTGCTAAATTCAAATTGGGTTCGTAGTTTTTGGCTTTTAGTAATTTCACTATTTAAGAGTCATTTATGTGGTAATGTTATTATTCTGCGTAATTCATCCTGGAATACGTTAAAAATCCGGTTTTTTAGAAAATTTTGCGCCTTTAAAGAACAAGTGAACCGCTTACCTCGCCAAAATCACCGCATAAGCCCGAAACGTTTTTGCCGTACAAAATATAATTAATAACAACACCGTGGTGTTAAAAAATATAGAAAAGCTATCAATTACAGTATGACCAGTAGTGAATATCGTGGCTCGAAGCGGCGTAAACGTCAAATTCATCTTTTCTGCCTTTTCGAAACCCAAGAATGGGGAAGTGGGCGGTTGGTGCTTTTTGAAGGTAGCAAAATGCGTCGTTACTAATGAAAAACCGCCATGTCTCTCACGCAGCTAATAGGCGCAAATGGGAACGACGAGTTCTCGGCACAACGCCCATAGGCCTTGTAGCCCTGATCAATGGGATCAAGGAAATTAATGAGAGTGGCTTTACACATATATCACTGTTCCGCCCGGGTTAATCAAAAGATCGAGTTACATTATATTTTGTGGCCGTACTACCCTTTTCCTGGAATGCGTTTCTAGCAATTTTGCTTGGCATTCAAGGATCCAATGTATAAGATGGGGCAATTAACATTACGCAGAAAATCCATTACGCAGAAATCCATTAAGCCGAAATCCATTAGACCGAAATTTCATTATACCGAAATCCCATTACACAGAAAATCACTACGCAAAAAAACTATTACGCAGAAATTCATTATATAGAAAAAATACTTCGCAGAAATTTGTTACCCCAACCGTTCCACTCCCATAAAATTCTATATACAAAAAAAAAAAAAGTTGTATCCGCGGTCGTTGAGGTTGTTTCCATCATTGACTCGCGGACTTTACCCAGTCAGATAGACTTATCGGTTCGAAAATTGTGCGTGATTCCCGATACTCACCCTCCTCTCTAGACTTCTTGAAATAAATTTTGAAGACCTTCTCCGAACCCTGTTTGCTAACTTTCCCGGATTTTATCCACCAAATTTTTTGCCTTATGATGCGTTGTCATCAACTCGGAAATTTCCAGCAAAGAGAATTTTTTCTTGTACGGAAATTTAGGTGTAATGGTCTTCTGCGTAATGAATTTTCTAGCCAATGTATTTCTGCGTATTGGTTTTTCTGTATAATGGTTTTCTGTGTAACGGATTTCTGCGTATTGAAATTTCTGTGTATTGAAATTTCGATATAATGGGTTTCTACGTAATGGTTTTCTGCATAATGTATTTTCGGCATAATGGATTTCTGCGTAATGGTTTTCTGCATAATCAATTTTCGGTATAACGTTAGTAAATCTATAAGATGCGTTCCAGTTCTGGCGTGAGGTTACAAGCGCTTTTTTGTATGCTCGGGCGACTGGTTCAAGCCGAAATCATGAAGTAGTAGGCAGCATATAATATTAATTCGTAGTCTCGGTCGGCCGCGTGACGTGTTGAGTTTGTCGTTTCGCCCGCTGGGTCGCGTATGGCGCACCAATCACTCTCCAAAGTAAATTAAACCAGCCTTTATGTTTGATGAATTTGAAAACTATTCAAAAAAAGTAAGCTTCTGAAGCCAATTTTTGCCTTTCCTCGTCGCGGGTCGTGTTACGCAATCGTGATTTTATGGTATACCAGTCAGGTAGCGGCCAGCTACGCTAGCCTACTAGCAAGCCTATTACGCTACACGCCAAATAAGCGTACGGTCAGGCTTTTCCGATGCAAGCAAAACATCGGGGCGGCTGTGGGGTATACCTTGCGTAGCGCAGCGTTGCCGCGCAAATTCGATGTCGTATATAGAGTTGCTACTTTATGAGCTTTATCGGAAAAAAATAAATTTAAAATCGAGCAGTACTATACAAGGAATTTCGAGTTCTTTGAGCCCTCCGCGGTCTCCATGGTCTTGAAATTGCTTGTTGTGTAGACGAACTTACTGTTGCCTTTCTGCCAAAAAAAATATCCATTCCATGATTTTCCGGCGATACGGTTGCACGTAGTAAATTGTTATTACGGGGCTAAAAGCGCTGCTCTAAAAATATATTTTTACGTTTAATAGAAAAATGACTCACCATGGCGACCGTCAAGAAGATATATTCCTCAAAAAACGGGATGTAGTCAATTAGGCTGAAAAAACTGGAAATGTTTATTTTTAGGGAAGCCAGCTTACGGTAATTTAAATTGCTGCCAGAGGAACGTTCCAGAATCGGTCAGGCATAATATCGGCAGTATCATTTGAATAGTTAGGGCCTAAAAGGAGCTTTTTCATTTTGCGACGCCGTTTCCGAATTATTGTCGGAAATTTCTCTCTCAAATTCCTCAAACTCCTCTGCTAGCTTGCCATTTTGCGCATGGTTTTTAAGGTACCTTTACATACCTTTACCAACTTCCGCTGCGCTACCAACGTAGATCGGCTCATCCCAGTGTTGCTCCACAATTTTTTGATAATTTTCTGGCGGTAGTAAATGGATATGATGTATCCGGGCCACACCGGGATACACAGCCATGCTAGTAGGATTATAATGCTAAAACACGTTAAAAACCCTCATAAAAAGTTTACTTTAATTCTCGGACATCGCGATACCCCGATACGACTGACAAGCTTTTGTTAGCCGGAAATAGAGGTTCTGGATATCCTGCTTCATAAATTTTGTAGATTACTTCCGGGTCGTTGGAAAGAAGGGCTTGGATGTGGAGGGCCTAAACATATATTTAATGTAACTATCGAGTTTAGGATAATTTTGATATTATTTGTTTTAGTTCATTATAACAATTCTAGATTCCGGATTTTAGACAATTTTTTGAATAGAAAACATTTTTCGATTATTTTTAGCCTAAACACATATTTAAAGTTCCTTGCGACTTTAAAATACTTCGATTGCATTTGTTTTAATTCATTTAAAATGCTAGATTCTAGATTCTAGAGAATTTTTCGTATCGAAAGTCTTTTGATAATTTTTTGACAGTTGGCTTTGGATTGACGTCCAATTTCCATACCAAAAACTTACTACAGTAACCCCAGCTGGCGCATAGACTAATAAACACAAAAATGCCGACGTCCACGGCTTCGGCGCTGAGTTGGTAATCACGTAGTTCCGGTACCTGAAGTTTGGTCTTTTACACTGCAAGCTTGACTCAAAGCTTCGCACGCTAATTTTTATGTAGCCCACAGCTATTCTGGGTGTTGCGGTGCCAGAAGATACGAGAAATACGCGCGCAAAACGTACCAAAATGATAAAGGCAATATCGTATAGGTATATGAAATACAATGCGCCATTACTGAATGCGCGACGAGGCAGAATTGGGGTGATATTTTTCGGCATATCCCATGGAATTGATAGACCAATGTGTAGCCAATTGGGATGATGCTGCAAAATGAAGTAAGTAATGCTTTTAAATGCGTATCATTTAGATTTGCATTAGCTGAAAAGCTTACGGTAGCTGGGAACTCATAAAAACTTACCGACACATGACCAACCCAGCGCAACCTCCCAACAACAATTCTGAGGCCGTCATGGTAAAATTAGCAGCTTCTGATACTCTTAAGCTTTCCTTACCATCCCAGTATTATGGAGTAACTCCTGAACGACTTCGAGGTGTGAAAAATAATCAAAATCAGCAGCGTCCCATTGAAAATCGCCGAAAATACGTCGCAAAATGAGTGCAAGCCGACGAAGACGTTGTAGCGGAAAGGTGTTATTGGGATTATCATTTCTAAAAATTTAGAGCATGCGCTAATAGAGTAGCAGAAACACCCAGTAAGAAAAACTTAGATGCTAAGGAGGAGGGTAGCGAACAGAGACTCTTGAGGAATATAAGCGCCCCGTAAAATTCCGGAAACAATCTCGGGCGGAATAATAGATTTTTCGCTTTGATTCATGCATTACGTGTGGTATAAGCCCCAGAAACCACGGCATAAATAATTTAAGACTTAAATTTTATATAAGAAACCACGGAAGCTAGCAAAGACTCATGGTGGAAATCTTGGAACTACGCGGCCCGTACAATCAGGCCGATAGTGGCGAGATCGCGCTCCATCCAGAGCCAGACAGCCAATTCTGGGCTTTGTGAAGCACGCGTTTCATCGCCTATTCTCAAAACCTAGCGAATGTACCAAAAATTTGGGCCAGTCATGCCTGATTTGGAGTAAAAAGGGGTAAACAATAGATTTGGGGTGAGAATGTAGTAGAGCCCGGGTGGTGAGTGCTACTCGTGAGTCCCACGAAGCGAACGGGCGATTCTCGAAGTTCCTTTTTCACGATGCACTTCTGCTGCATGGAGTTGTATTCGTATTTGAATTCGACGAACTTCAGAAAGACGTTCAGCGGGCTTTGTACCTTGGTGCGTCAAAGAAGAAGAACGGCTCTTGAGTCGACGCACCGGCTCGCGAAATTTTGAGCGCCCTTTCCTTAAAATGGGGGGCTATTGTGCCATTCAAATTCCTGAGGCAGGAAAAATGACGAAAATAGCGTCTTGGGACGCAGCTGAACGTCTTGAAAAGAACGGCGGTGATGATGCTGTGAAAAATCGAGAGGCGCAAAGCTAAGTGCTACCTAGTACAATTGTTTGCAGCTGCGCGTTCTTTGCAACGCACCTATAGCTTCACTTTAAAACCAAATCAATGACACGGTTTTTTTAAAAAAACATCTTTTTTTTATAGATAACAGTTATTTAATACATTTCAAACAAGATCCCGTCCGCTTTCCATTAATGCGCTCGTCCTGGAGACGTACGATATCCGCATGGGCCCAAGTTCCGCCCGGCAACAAAAGGTTTCCAGAAATTTCCGGCGATACGGCAGTACGTAGTATAATGTGACGCGCGGAGTGTGAAAAATAATGATGTAAATCAGGATCCCGTTTGATAATACAGAAAATGTGCTGAATACGGTATCCAGGACTATCGACAAATTGTCACGAAAGGGCCCATAAGGCACGATCATTGGAAGTTATAGGCTTTCGAAAGGTAAAAAGTGCTCTTTTTTCTTGCGTAGTTCTGTTAATAACGGTGTGAATTTTCAACGATAACGCCCCGACCTAGGGAATTTGGTGGGGAAATAGGCCCAGTTTTGGGTGCCTTTTTGGGTTCCAACCGGTCCCGATAGATAGAAATATCAGGTATAGACGCAAAATGTATTTAATTTATCGATGGTCTTTTATAAAAAGACTTTTATTGATGCGGCTATATCAATTGATCCATCAGATTCGAGCCTTCCGTCGCCTTCAGCGTCGAGGCGTTCGTGGGAGCGTAAGTAGCCGTAGTCGGCCCTAGCCTCTGCGTCTTACAGAAAAGCTTCATGACCCATCGTCGATAGGGTAATACGTAGTAGATCGTCACGAGCGGGCTGATGACACTGGTCTAAAGTATTCGGACGTATGGCTCGAATACTTCTCATACCAACGCCAACGACAAAAACCCCCACTCCTCGTAGTAGGGGACATACTCGACGAATCTGCAATTTTCAGCCTGTCCAGTTGATTACAGGTTAAAAAACCGAAGCTGTGATATTTTAAAGGTTCGAGAATTTTTATGTAAATAACGCCAAATCCACAGAACATTAAAAAAAAACAATAAAAGCCTTACGGTAACTGAAACTGCTCCCACAAAAATAGTGGCGATGATGTTAGCATAGCGAAAGGAAGCATTGCTTGAATCGTTAGCGCCTGGAAAAAAAGGCTTTAATTATTCAATTAGTCTGCTAAAAATTACTTCGAGCTATTGTACCTTAACTAATTTCCTTTGCGCCGACACAGTAGCCTGACTCAATCTGGTATTAGTGTTCAACACCCTTATAATCTTTCGACGATAGTAAATCGAAATTATATATCCCGGAAAGACGGAAAAACAAATCCATAAGATTAGAAAGGCGATTCTATAAAAGTGGCGTGAATAGTGCTGGATTCTTACTCTAGTGATTTCACGGTGAGGTATCCAGACACTATATACAAAGACGGATCTGCCGGATACAGTTCCATTGGATACCCTTTCAATAAGATTTTCAATAAGTCTTCCGGATTATCAGCGGTTAGGGCGTGGATTTGAATAAGCTAAAATGGAAATAAATTATTCGTAGGGACTACCATACCAAGCATATAAACGCTGGTATATAAACCAGGAAGCAGAGGAAGCTGACCCTGGCAGAACTTGGCCTTGGATTGGATATGACGTAGTGACGGTACCTAAAAGCAAAGCTACAGCGACACGAGAGAAAAATCGAGAGAGAGAGAGAGAGAGAGATAGGGAGAGAGAGAGAGAGAGAGAGAGAGAGAGAGAGCGATTGATAGACTCATAGGGAAGAGATATTTGCTCAGTTTACCAAAACGAGAGCGGCAACAACGAATATGTAAATGACACTCCGTGTGTTGTGATGGCTTGTGCTGGAAAAAAATTGAAGATTTTAATTTTTTTGAAAATCTGAAATTTTAAAAGTCTAACATTAACATTCACGAAATCAATCAAGAAAGGAAAACGTTGAAAAAGAAAAAATTCAACACGGGAACTTGCCTACATCACAAAACAGTGGGCTAATCTTCCGACACATTCCATTGTACTGGTAAATCAGCGATCGATCGATCGGAATTATGCTAAGAGATTTTTCTGGTGTTAACCGAATTTACATACCGTACCATCACCAAACCCGCAGAAGCACCCAGAAGAAGCTCGGAAACGGCCATGCTAAGACTATAAAAATTTTGATCGACTTTAGCCTACCATCCCAACAAAATCGAGTAGTTCCGGAACGAATGCGAGGTATGGAATATGATCAAATACAGTAAGAGACAGTTGAAAATTGTCGAAAATAGATCCCCAAAGCTATGTAAGCCATAGAATATGAATTCGCGAGTTGCGGTGAACGGGACCAGCATTTTGTATCTTTTTCTGACGTTCGATATGAACCAATGAACTGGCCACCTTTCAGCTCAAGCCTCAGTTTTTGAGCATAATACGGCCGATAGACTATCGGAAACGCAAGAGCAAGAGCCGAAAATTAACTTGAGAATCTGGCGAAAAGTCTGGGTTTTCGCGTGCTCCCAAACAAGATAGACGCCGAATTTCACACCTTGATAAATCACCAAAACTAAGTACGGTCAAGCGTAATTCAGACGTGCACCTTGTTTCCCCCAAAACCTCCCCTTTGTTAGCTATAACGTCTGGTCACTTTCCCTAGAAAAACCAAATTTTAATAACTAATTACCGAACTTAATTCTCCCTGAGGCCATGCTGAAAATTTATAA